CAGACTGAAGTAGTTTAAGTCTTTAGTTTTTTTAATTGTGATGATTTTGGATTACATTTAACAAAAACCCACCAATTCACTATCTCAACAAATTAGAATATGGTGACATGCCAATCAGCTAATCAACTCAAAACACCTGCAAAGGTTTCCTGAGCCTTCAAAATGGTCTCTCAGTTTGGTTCACTAGGCTACACAATCATGGGGAAGACTGCTGATCTGACAGTTGTCCAGAAGACAATCATTGACATCCTTCACAAGGAGGGTAAGCCACAAACATTCATTGCCAAAGAAGCTGGCTGTTCACAGAATGCTATATATATATATGTTAACAGAAAGTTGAGTAGAAGGAAAAAGTGTGGACGAAAAAGATGCACAACCAACCGAGAGAACCGCAGCCTTATGAGGATTGTCAAGCAAAATCGATTCAAGAATTTGAGTGAACTTCACAAGGAATGGACTGAGGCTGGGGTCAAGGCATCAAGAGCCACCACACACAGACGTGTCAAGAAATTCGGCTACAGTTGTCGTATTCCTCTTGTTAAACCACTCCTGAACCACAGGGTAAAATATGACATGGATTATCGCAGCACTTCAACAGTTGCATTCATTTTCAGAAGAATAATTTGAAGGATGATGCCTCCGGTTCTCATTTGATCAACCCCTTGGCCAAAGCCCAAAATTTTATTTATTCATGGTCACTTTTGATTTCCCCTCATTCATTTCAAAAGACATTTTTAAACACAGAAAGGTCTCATATGCATCATCCTGACAGCTCCAAAGCCACCTGGGGAATGATCAAAATATTAAACCCATGAAAAGTTGCTTCAGAAACAAATTTCCAGAAACAATTGCCATTTGGTAGTTTACAGGTGCATCTCAATAAATTAGAATGTTGTGGAAAAGTTCATTTATTTCAGTAATTTAACTCAAATTGTGAAACTCGTGTATTAAATAAATTCAGTGCACACAGACTGAAGTAGTTTAAGTCTTTGGTTCTTTTAATTGTGATGATTTTGGCTCACATTTAACAAAAACCCACCAATTCACTATCTCAACAAATTAGAATATGGTGACATGCCAATCAGCTAATCAACTCAAAACACCTGCAAAGGTTTCCTGAGCCTTCAAAATGGTCTCTCAGTTTGGTTCACTAGGCTACACAATCATGGGGAAGACTGCTGATCTGACAGTTGTCCAGAAGACAATCATTGACATCCTTCACAAGGAGGGTAAGCCACAAACATTCATTGCCAAAGAAGCTGGCTGTTCACAGAATGCTATATATATATATATATATATATATATTTTTTTTTTTCAGGATTCTGAATAGGAAGTTTAAAAGAACAGCATTTATTTGAAATGGATTATAAATATCTGTACTGTCATTTTTGATCAGTTTAACTTTAATCTGACTTTGCTGAATAAAAGTATTAATTTCTTATTATTACTGGTCGCAAAATGTATTCATTTTCCAATTATTATTATTATTCTATTTATTTGCAGGTTTGGGCCTCCACCAGAGGCGTGAGATACTCACTGATGCGAGCTGCTGAGGTGCAGTGGTCGCTCCGCGTCTCCTCTTCGTACACGAGGAACAGGAGACCCCTCTACCTCCGCAGTTACTGCACGGTGTTCGAATGATGAAACCCGTCGGGACAGCGCCATCCTTCAGCCTCAGCCCTTTGAATCCCATTGCCTTTGCAGCGGCATAAGATTTCGGATCAAAGCAGTCCTTGCTGAAGTGCTCCGAGCATAGATGGGAGTACGTCTTGCCGACCCAGTTCTTTCGGGTCTTCTGGACCTGTTTCTCCCATTTAAGGAACTCCTCGGGGTCTTTGGGAAATCTGAACATTGAGACATTTTGCCCGCTGAACTTCCCGCAGCCATAAGCAACACATCGGTTAGGCATTTGTAATTTGTAATACAGATGTGGGATCGTATAGAGGTCTTCGGGAATGTAGTCTGCAGATGGCTCCAAATAGCGACTGCGAATTACGTTCAAGAAGCATTAAAACAGTTACAAGTTCCACCAGATAACATTAAACCACATTGCTTCACGGTTATTAGCACTCAGTCAGTGGTGCAAGCGTATAAACAAATATTTGAAGAGCATCTGAGAGCTCTGTATAAATGGTAAACTATGACATACACGGACCAAAAGTCAAAGCAACAATATGAACATTGTTGTGTGTAAAAGAGAACTCCACAACAACACATTTCTCACCTGCTTTTCCACTTAAAGCCAATGTGGAGCGGTTTGCTTATCGTGAACAGCGCATTATCGCCATCATCCGGACTGGAGAAGCAGATTACGTTACAAAAGGGTTTCATTAACCTGTATGACTTTATGCGCTGGTTGTTTTTAAAACGATGTGATGATTAAAAGCCTTGGGTTCATAAACTATTTATATATATCTATTGTACATGAAATGTTAATTCAGTAACATTGGAATAGTCATCTACGCTTGACGGGAAGCAGTGTGGTTCCATGGTGTAATGGTTAGCACTCTGGACTCTGAATCCAGCGATCCGAGTTCAAATCTCGGTGGAACCTGACTTTTGTTTTCCGTCAGGTAAAGAGGAGTCAAGTACTTGTGCTTATACGTACAGTTAAATGAATATCAATCAATAATAAAAAGGAAAGCCAAATTAGCACTTAACCAAGAATGATATTGCCAGTCTGGAAGCTGTAATGCTGAAATCACATGACTGTACCTGTACTCATGGTTGGCTCCTCCTTTCTGCAAAGCTGAACTAGGTCAGTAAAGTAACACACTACTAACACTTGTTATAAGTGGAAAGATAAAAACGAACTATTTATCCTGTTAAATAAGTTCATTCACAACTGCATGCATGTACAAGTTCTCTAAAAGGCAGGAAATTAATATACTAGCAGAGTCTTTTATTTATAAGTGACTGTTAAATTGAATTAGTAAGTTTTATATATGTGAAGTTGTTTGAACAAATATCATATGGCCTATCATCCAGTTTTTGTAGGTCCTATATGTAAAGTCCACTATTGAGGCCAGGCAGAGTGGCCCCACTTATACTGTTTTGTCCCAGGCCCCATGAATTTTAGCACAAGCTCTCTGATGGTGTACAACTCCAAACACATTAAAACGGACAATTTCTTGGCATTTTTGTGTGCTGTATTCATCAGTCGGTCAGTGAATGGACAGTGGGTCAGCTGTGGGTAACCATAACCTTGACAAGTAACCTTAGTGCCTTCAGTAAAGTAAAGATTCTAGCATATAAGAAAAGAGAGAGAGAGAGCTTGAGGCTTATGTTGAAATATGGGAAGACAGATGATATGTGAAGATATTTGGGATTGGGATGCATAAAGTGAGGCCATCAAAACAATATAGTAAATTCAAAAAACATTATTTGAATTAATACATTGATTTTATAAATAGGCCTAACAGAGATTGCCAGCCTCAGAGGCACTATTATACGTCCTGTGGGAGTATTGATAACTGTCCTGCAATTATTGTCAGAAAAGTTTCCAAAAGATTGATTCGCTTAGCCACATTGTGGGGTTATTTATTAATATTAATGCCTTGAGATGTACCATCTCATTGTCGAGGGGGTTCCATATTAAGGCACTTTTTCCTTTCATCTAATATATATTAATGAAAATTGTACTCTGGACTTGTTAAATTCTCTCCACTTTTGCCAAATTAGCGCTGCTTACAAAACAAATTAATACATTTTTTAATACGGCAAACTACTTCCATAAAAATAAAACACTGGAGAGCATTTTCACTCCAAACTTCTCCAAAACACTTTCAATCCTTTGTTATGGAATGAAGAAAAATACTATCAAGATAAAATAGCCTGCTTCATTATTGCTAGCCAGTGATCCTCCATATGCCTTGTGCTTTATATATATTTTTTTACATTTTACCTTATTTGTATATTTGTATAGTTGTATTTTGTATTTTGTATTTAATCTGTATTTATGTTATCTGTATGCACCCAAGGGTCTGAGAGTAACGCAATTTCAATTCTCTGTGTGTATGTGCTGTACATGTGGAAGAATTGACAATAAAGCAGACTTGACTTGACTTGACTTGACAATGAGAAATCAAAGGCTGATCTACAAAGTTATTTTCTATTGCCACTAAAATAAATTAGATAATATATATATATATATATATATATATATATATATATATATATATATAAAAAAGTACATCTGTGTTAATTATTAATGTAAAACATGAATCTTTATTAATGTAAAACATTAATATTTATTAAAAGAATTTAACACAATTTAGGTGTCATGTCATCCAACAGGGACAATCACCACAATTTAAATTAAATTAATTAGAGTAAGCCTACAACATATAATGGCTTAAAATTCTGTATGTTAGCCATTTTTAATTTCTAGTGTAATGAACGAAAATGAACAAATTACTGTAAATATAGATTGAAAGTTGTATAAAATAATGTTGCTACAGAATCAGATGCTGGATTTTTTTCTTCGTTATTCTAAATTCATATTCCACAGAATGCAATTCTTGCATACATCAAATCAAATGTAATTCTTGAACTTCATTTTGTGCATAATATATAATAACTTAAAATACTCATTAAAGTGGGATATTGTAGGTTATTTATTCCTCTTTTTGAATAAGTAGCCTACTTATAATTCACTGCATCTAATAACTAAATCCTGTTAAATTCAACCATGTAAATCTAGTATAGCTGATAAGATTTCAATTACTTCTTCAATTTTGACAATTTCCCATTAAAATTCCAAAATAAAACAATGTGAATTTGTATTTTCATAAAAAACTAAATTTAATAAATCTGTACTAACATTTTCAGACATTTAAATACCTACTTGACGTCTGTTTAAAAAAACACAGTTAAAGAAAGAAAATACAATTCACATTTTGGCTCAATTTAACTTTTGATACTATTTTGATACCACTTGATACTAACATGACCGTACGACAGACTACAAAACACACCTATGTTGCGCACAGATACGGCAGACGAGGACATTTATTTCAAACACATCGTCGCTCAATTCTGTATCTCTTGACGGGACTAGATGAGTTACTGTAGAGCCGCTGCGACCGTCGCTTTATCCTTTCTTGCCGAGTCGACTCCCCCTACCTCCTCCGCTTGCAGAATTGTATAAAGAACACAAATCGGGCTGGGGAGGGGGGTTGATACGCCGAAGCTGAAATTGAGAGGCGAACCCAGGAAAGAGGAGTATTTGTACACGGGACTTTCCCCCCCTTCGTCCCTAAAAAGGAGGGGGAAATGTCATATTTTTAAAAGCGATATTTTTAAAATCGAGGATTACGTATAGGCTTAGCCGCCTATCTCTGAGGATATATATTTTAATTCGTTAAAAAATATGGCCGAGAACGTTCTGGAGTCTGGTCCGCCTTCAGCGAAGAGGCCTAAACTGTCCTCCCCGGCTCTATCTGCCTCCGTCAGCGATGGAAACGGTAAATATTTATTTTGTTTAATTTTTACGATATTGAATATTTGAATCACTTGATGCTTGTTTTCTATATACCCATGCACACTGAAGTCTTTAAGCGGGGAATGGGGTTTTCTTTTTAGTTTTGTGCCAGGCTAGCAAGCTCAGGCTAGTTTGGGAAGCTAACGACGTCGGGTCCGCACGAGACTAACGTTAGCTTTAGCTTGTCATTCCAGCTAGGTTAGCATTAGCGCTTCTCTGTCGATGTTGGGATTCACTCACAGCGGCTGCACGCTGCTTTCCCTCAGCGAGGGACTGTGCTTGGTGTCAACTGGTGTAAATGTAAAACTAACGGGTGCAAGGAAAAAACTATTTTTGGATCTACAGTGGCAATAACAGTAGTGGGTTTTTTTTGTGTGTGAAACGCCTGTTTCGGTTTGGTTCCCACTTGCTAAGAGTTGGGATCACTTCTTCAGATAATAAATATAATGTATAACGATTAATAAAAATTGCATCAATAATTAGGCTTCTACGAATAGATTCTGAAAGCCTAGTCGTCACATTTAATCAATGCTCCTTTATTTACTAATGATCGACATTGATTAGCCTGCTAAACTGAATCAATCAACTTCAAAACTTTCTGACTGCACTTAAACACGATTGTTTTCACAAACTACTCATGTGCAGCGAGCACAAACTTTAGCCTCTGTTCCTTGTGTTTTCCTCCACATATTTTCCTGTTCTTTTTAATGTTAATAAATGTGATTAATATTGGTTAGCTATGATGGTCAGCTAATAACAGACTGATGCTGAAGGCCCGCACATCAACTCCCTGCCATTGTTAGCTAGATGCAAATCAACTAATTCCTCATTATTTTAAGGTCCGGAGGTTGATTCACTGGTTTGAACTCACTGGCTTAATGTTTGTGTGATTTGGAGGATACAAATGTACTTGTGTTGTGTTTGAGTGAGTTAGCTTGCTGGCTCAAATAGCCTTTTAGTGCGTCGGTCATTTTTTTCGGAACTAGATTTCCATTGTTCAGCCATAACACAACTGACGAGCCTGTCTCGTAAAAACAAACCGTAAAACTCATTTAAATCTTAGCGATGCGAATTATTACCACACAAGTGTCCTGATGTTTCTTATTAAATGTTAAAGGTTCGAGTTATTATACTTGAACGTATCTTCAAAAGCGAAGTACGTTTCTTTGTTGATGTCTCGAATGTTTTCAACATTTTGTTCAAACTCTAGTTTGATCCGGTACATATATAAGTGTACATATATGTAAGGAAATTACATACTTTATTTATTTATTTTTTTACTTTTGGATAGATGCAAATGGTAGGTGTGGATGATTGCAATACGTGCATAAAGATGTTTCCTTTAGACATTTTTTGTGGAATTTAGAAAAAATAAATTATTTTTAAGATTTAATAAATCTTATCACAATAAAATACCATTTTAAATGAGCAAGCATCACCAGCAAGTCTCATTCACTAGAGTCTAAGTAGTGACTACCTGAATACATTACATCCTAATTCAACAACATGTACTCCTATCTGTGTTTAGCTTCATGTCAAACCACAGCCCGCCATTTCAGATAGTCATTAATAAACACAGCTGTCAGATTTCCAGCGAGGTAGCTGTGGAAGTAGCATATCATTTTGGATTGAATGACAACTTTACGTAGCGATGACAGGACATGCCCATGTCATTACACAAATGAATAAATCACAAACTGTGTTTTCATAATATGTTGATAGAAAGTGGTCACGGTGGTCTTTTCTTAGCTTCATATAGGATGATTTATCCATTTCAGCTGCTAATGCTGTATATATTCGTGCATTCTTAAGGGCCGTTCACACCGAGAACAATGAATGTAATGATAACTATAAAGCGTCCACACCAATGCATGATCATGTTCTGTTTATAATAAGTGCACGCTGCAGCTATGTTAAATGCTTTAAAGATTATCATTGGCCTGTCAATGTTTTTATCATTAATCACCTGGAGATAAAAATGTTTCAGAAAGCGATTCCAACAAAATTTGTTCCTCTGTGTCATTCTAGAATTAGAATGATTATTAAAACTATAGTTTTGTCGTCCATTGTGTGAACATGCCTTAAACTGTAATTTTTTCATGATTATAAAAGCACTTATTTAACTGATGTTGTACGCAGATTTAAAAGTCATTAACACAATGCATTTGTGAGTTTTGCCTTAAATCTCAAGGTGTAGGTCAGTGGAATGGAAAAAATAGTGTAGTGTGTCCATGTAGCTCATTTACGTGGAAAAGCGGTGCAGTGGAATGCAAAAAAAACAAAACTTGCATTCTGTGTGAATGGCCCCTTAATCCATTCTTTGTTTTCTCCAAATTAACTTTTCATTTGATGTTCTTTCTTATGTCCAGATGTCAGAGTGTTCAGGTATATTGCTGAATCTATCCCAAGACGAGGATATATTATGTATTATTCTCCCATCATTAAACCTGCTTCTAAATTCTCATTCCCTGCTGTAGATTATTGCTCGCTTTTTGACCTGGAGCATAACCTTCCAGATGAGCTGATCAGTTCCTCCGAGCTGAGCCTAGCAAATGGAGGGGACCTCGGCCAGTTGCATGGCAATTTGGGTAGTGGGGGCGGGGCCATTGGAGGAGTTGTGTCCAGTGGCCAGGATGCAGCAGCCAAACACAAGCAGCTGTCTGAACTCCTCCGGCATGGATCCGCATCTGCATCACAGCAGCAGGGTGCAATGGGTAGCCCAGCAGGAGCCTTAATGGGGCTTTTTGGGAATATGAAGGCTTCACCAGGTACTCAGGGCATGGGCCCGCAAGGGCAGCAACGTCTTTCCCCGCAACAGGCCACGCTTATGCAACAGCAGCAAATGGCAGGGATGGTGGGCAACATGAACAGGAATATGCTCGGACCTCAGAAAGGCAACGGACAGCAGCAAGCAGGAGGGCCTGCGCCTCAGCAGCCACACATGCTGGGAGCGCAGATGATGAACGGATCGCCCAGAATAGGACATCACAACCCGGGCATGGGCAGCAGCAGTAACCTGTTAGCAGAGGCTCTTCAACAGCACCAGACAGTAGGAGGTCAGGGTGGACTGAGGGCACAGCAGCCTGGAGCAATGAACAAGGTAGTTACAGCATCATCAATGTTGGTCCGAGGCACCTTATAGAAATGCTTTATGTTAGCCATGTTGGAATTATCCTGTTTATTCCTCCTCAGAGATGCATGATAAATCGGTATCAGCCAATAAATGTGAGATTTTGTGTTAAGTTTCATTATTGGACCAATATATTTAAAGGGGTCCTATTATGCTCTTTTACTAAGTCTTGTTTTGGGGGTGTACTAGAACAGGCTCTCATACTAGGTTGTTAGTATGACCCAGTCTGGCATGAACGGCTTGAATAGTTCCTGTATCAAATGAAGGCCCGCCTTCTGAAATACGAAATGTGCTGTGATTGGTTAGCTGGGCCAGTGTGTGTTGTGATTGGCAGCACTCGGTGCCTGGTCGGGAAATGTAATGCCCCTTACCATAGCTGCCTGCCAGCTTCAGTGTAAATATTGCGTCAAAATCAAATCAATCTGAGCACGATTTAAACCCAGATGATTGTAACCACTCTAAGTTCGTCTGCCTTGGGAAAGCTAGCGTGCCTCCGACATAGTGATAACACTCGTTGCCTTCTCTAGTGCAGCTCAACCAGGTCTCGTCCCATTCGTCAATATTTGTGATATCACAAATCCCGGAAAATATGCGTTGTAGTCCAAACTTTGTAGATCTTTTTTATGCTCAAACAGCAACATTACAGACTAACTAAAGTTGAAAAAGTGAAAAAGCATAATAGGACCCCTTTAAGATGATAAATTATAGCCAAAGGACGACAACTTTTTGGGGCAATAATCCCTCCCTTCCAGCAACCTGTTACTCACACAAGATTGCAGCAATTAACAAATGACAACAATCCAATCATTTCCAGATGGACAAAATCATGCGTTTCACACTGATATACATTGCAATAGAGAATAAAAGATGATCACAACGGTTTTATTCCGACTTTAATTTTAAAAGTAGCTTTCTCATTTGAAGCACATAGCTATCTGGACTGGAAAGGTGAGCATTTTTCTCACAGAATGTAGATTATTACATAATAACAGTCAATTCTTTGTAATCAGCTTTAGAATATAAATGATTATTAGGTAAATATCTTACAAAATTTCTGTATTGCTACTAGGGTTGTGACGGTGAGGAAATTTTCCCACCGGTTAATCGACGTGTGACAACACCGGTAATACCGGTATCACCGTGGGGGCGGGGGGTTCCCTATTTTTCTAGCTTTCCTTTGCTTTTAAATAGCTTGTAAAAGCAGCGTGCGCATTTTACTTTCACTTTGAAATAGCGGCAATTGGGCTTAAAGCAATCGTTCGTTTATATTTTCCCTCTTTTCCTCGCTTTCCAAAGCGGCGTGCACATTTTACTTTCACTTTTGAATTAGCTGCAGTTCGGCGTCAATTGCTTGAATGCAACAACAAAATACAACTCACTTTAGCGTATATATAAAACATAGAACTTTTATTAACAAAACGAATACAAATACACCATGCTATAGGGCAGGCTATGCCTAATATAAAATAACAAATAACTTGCATAAAGTTTAAATGGGTATACAAAACTGGAAACCAGTAAACATGTATAATATATAACCAAATAAATAAGAAATGTAGAACGTTTATTAGCAAAACGAGTAAGAAAGCTTGGAGGCACGGTATACACCTTGATGTCAAATAAAATAAATAAATGACACAAAGTTTCAATAAAGTAAAAATCAGCTTAGATAACCGGCAAAAGTCAACAGGCTTTTCAAAATCCAAAATATTGCCAAACAGGCACTTTTGCATCTCGTTTCGAAACTAAATCATCCGCGATCGTCTTGTCTGTCTCACCTCAGTCAGCTCGACTCCCTCTCCTCACTGGAGAAATTCAATCTGATCTGTGATGTGACTGTCGTTCGGCACGCTGCATTGAGCAGCCACGTTCAGTTTTTAATTGTAGTGTCTGTTCTTTTACTGAACTTGACTTGCGGTGGGCAAGTGACGTAACCGGTGTTGCGGCTTAACAACGGTATCACCGTCAGCACCGTCTATCGCGGCAAGCCTAATTGCTACAACCCAATTCCTCATGATCTCATATCTTTCATAGGGCATTAAATCATGTTTATTTTTTCCCCAAATTCTATATTTCTGTTTGAATTTTTCTGGATTCTATTTTAATGGTTAAAATTTTAATAATCAAACAATCAACTGAATTCATAATTTTCTTTTACAATTTACTAAATAGTTAAATTAAATGAAAATGTAATTAATTTAACAATAGTTCCCTATTAAATTTGTTTGATTTTTTCCCAGAAATTCTGTTGACTTTTTATTTTTATTTTATGGATTCTGTTTTATGATTTAATAAAAATGTATTATCAAAGCTGGTGGTAATCAAATAACTGTAGAAAACTTGAACTATTTAATGAATCTTTTAAAATGTTATCTAATAAAAAGCCTGTTGTACAGCAAATTGATTGCAGAAAAAGTGCTGTACAACAGGTTTACTGTTTAAATTAAAGGACAAAATCATGAAAAATTGTGTGATATTCCTTAAGTAATGTTTTAGTAAGTTGTATTATTATTTCTTTGAGAAGTAAATGTTACTGTATAATGGTAATATATTTGTCATAATTTCATTGAATTAAACCAAACGTTTATTTTAGGGGTTTATAGTGAAGACCTTTGAGTTGCTATGTGTATCTGACGATAGTTTTATCAAATAAAAAGTTGAAATGCTCGTGAAGTGAATTCGCAGTGCAGCTCTTGAGATCAAGATTGAAAAACACTACTACTACTATCATGCTTCAGTGTGTAGACTAAACTGTGCTGACACAGACATTAGTCCATATTGCAATTTGATTAAACGTACAGTCCTCCTTTGATATATTTTGACATTGATGTACAGTAAATTCCTTTTTATGACTGGATTCCAAGATTTTGTCCACATGGTGGAAATAATAGGTCCCTACACACATCCATAGGAGTTTTTTTGTTAGTTTTTTTGGAGAAGCATTCTTATTTCCCTCTGTCTGTTTGTTGCAGATGGGTATGAATGCAGGTTCAGGCCCCTATGGAGGCCCGTATGGTCAGCCTGCCAGTCAGGGTCTGGGTGTTGCAGGGCTGGCCCCTCAGCTCCAGAACAAACCAGGTCTCCCCAACAGTCCGGCCCAGTTTAACCTCGACAAGAAGCCTGTGCAGAGCATACCTGGCATGGTTTGTAATTCAGTCATAAAGACTTTAGACTCATTTGAAAGAAATCTACAAGATATCCTAATGTCTGTTATTTTGTGATTTTCACAGCAGGCTTCCCAGCCTTCCCAAGTGGGTGCTGGCGGAGGCGCAGGAATGGCCAGCATGGTGCCTAACACCCAAGGAACTCTCGGGCCCGGATCAGCTCCATCAGCTGTGTCTGCAACAGCGGTGGGAGGAGTTCCTCCAGCAGCCGACCTGGAAAAGCGCAAACTCATACAGCAGCAGCTGGTGCTTTTGCTCCATGCCCACAAGTGCCAGCGGAGGGAGCAGGCCAATGGGGAAGTAAGGCAGTGTAACCTGCCCCACTGTCGCACCATGAAGAACGTCCTCAACCACATGACGCACTGCCAGGCTGGCAAATCTTGCCAAGGTGAGTGTATAAACTGCACAGAATTTAAATAACATGGCACTTTTGTGGCATGTGGTTCTATTGTTCAGCAGTTCTGCCTATTTATACAACATGGTGCTATTACTAATATTAGGTTTGTGTTTTTATTGCTTTTTAGTGGCGCACTGTGCCTCATCCAGACAGATAATCTCTCACTGGAAGAACTGCACGCGGCATGACTGTCCAGTATGCCTACCACTGAAAAACGCAGGAGACAAGAGGAATCAGCAGAGTGAGTGTGTGTATTAATTAAAAACATGCTGTTTCATACATCTCAACTTACTTTTTGTTTGTATGTATGTGTTTTTGCTGTTAGAATCTTATCATTGTCTTCAGTGTTGCAAAATTGGACATTTCAACAGTTGTATGACTATTAAGTTTGTATGGAAACTGTCACTTAATTTGATTTATTAGATTTTTTTTTTCTCCAAATGATTTCAGCTCTCCTAGGCACTGGTGGTGTGGGGTTAAGTTCTTCTTTGGGTAATGTAACTGGTGGTACACCCAGTGCCCCCCATCTCAATACCCCAGGGCAGGTAGACCCCAGTTCCATTGAGAGGGCTTACGCAGCCCTGGGCCTCACATACCAGGGAAACCAGGCTCCCCCTCAGCCTGTCCAACAAACACAACGGGCAGTGAACACAATGGGTAATGACAAACCGAGACTTCAAATTTTATTTGAACAATACTTTCCAGTAATTTTTATATATATATATTGTTTTTTGGAATATGTTTCGGAAATAAAATGTTTTGCAGTGGTACCTATTCTCATGACCTTTCTTGTTACAGGAGCAAATCCCATGGGAGTAAATGGAGCAGTGGGTGGTCAGTCTCCGAATCAGCAAGCTAACCTTCTCCAGGAAACAATGTTGCATCTGAATATGAACTCGCAGAGGTAAACAAACCCTTGGGTTCATCTTGCGTAACTAGTCGCCATTCACTTCTCTGCATTCAGTTGGTCTTAAAATCTCACAGTAACAGTAATCCACAGCAGCAGGTGTCTGTCAGCTTTGACAAGTTCATATAATAAACATAGAGTGGTCCTCATTTGTTTTTGCTCCCCTTTCCCCAGTCTGATGAATGACAATGCTGTGGGCGGTGTGGGGTCTATGCCTGTGGCCAACCCAGCTGCCAGTGCTGGCATGAGCAAGAACTGGCACGAGGACATCACCCAGGATCTACGCAACCACCTGGTGCACAAACTGTAAGTTGTTCACTGCTATGTGAAAATTATGCCTGAAGAAGTTACGTAAAAAAAATGTTATTAGTCACATTTTATAGTGAAATAATTAATTTTTTTTATCAGATACTGAAATGAACAATCTTATAATATTTGTTATATTGATGTCAATTGTTGTTTTTCATTACTGCTGTGTTATTACTATATTTCTTTTAAAATAAATTTATCTTGCCATGAAAATAGCCATAGATGCTGGTGTGGCAATAAAAATAAACAAACAAACAAATAGATAAATTCTAGTATTCTTATATATAAATATATAAATTCTTTATAATAACCAGTAATTTATTAATAATAATAATAATTACCAATAAATAACCAATGAAAACCAAGGCTTTTGATATTAGTTGATATTTATTTCTTCTCCTTTGCTGCCCTTCAATTTCTTCAGAGTCCAGGCCATTTTTCCCACTCCAGACCCTGCTGCACTGAAGGACCGGCGGATGGAGAATCTAGTGGCCTATGCTCGTAAAGTTGAGGGGGATATGTATGATTCCGCTAACAGCAGGGTGAGGGTATTGTCTTGTTGCCTGTTAATGATTTGTGTTTAATTGTAATGACTGATTTGTCACCATTTATACTTCACACTTTTCAGGCTGAGTATTATCACCTGCTGGCGGAGAAGATTTATAAAATCCAGAAGGAACTGGAAGAGAAGCGAAGGACACGGTTACAGAAGCAGGGTATGATGCCTACGCAGCAAGGGCCCACTGGGATTGGTCAGACAGAGCTACCCACAGGACTGCCTTCTAGTGAGTACTCATCCACCAAACTTGTCTCTCTTTGCGACCAATTAGCAGGTAACTAAATGCATATTGGCTATTAAAAAAGGGACAAGCCTTTCAATGTTTCCTACCCAAACGTCTGGTCCTAAAGGAAATATGTCAACAGAACAGAAAACTGCTCTAGTCCAGCAATTTCACAGGGTCTTGTTTTTTGTTTTATTGTTTTGCCCCTCTACCTGCAGATGGCCCTCTCTCGGATCCTTCAGTGGTGCGGCCTATTGGTCCAAACCAGATGTTGAACAGGATGCAGAATGCTACCGGTCTGTATATCTCATATACATGTATTTGTGTTTACTGAGATATTCTAAATGTTTAATTTTATATGTGTACACTACTGATCACAGTTTCTTTTTTTAAGAAATACTTTTATTCAGCAAGAATTCATTAAGATTATCAAAAGTGACAGTAAAGACTTGTGTTGTAACAAATAAATCTTATTTCAAATAAATGCTTTTCTTTTGACCTTTCTGTTCACCAAAGAATATTGACAAAAATATGTATACATCATGGTTTCCACAAAGAATTAAGACTGAAGACTGGTATGATGGCTGCTGAAAATTCAGCTTTGCCATCACCAGAATAAAGTATGTTTTAAAATATATTAAAAATAGAAAACTATTGTTTTAAATTGTAATATTTAACAGTATTACTGGTTTTACTGTATTTTACTGTACATACACACACATATATATATATATATATATATATATACAAAGTGATATATGAATTTATACATTTCTAAAAATATAATTAAATATATGTATGTATGCATAAATCTCCCTTCGAAAACTGGGCCGCAGGGCAGTATTCCAGCATAACGACCCCAAACACACCTCCAAGATGACCACTGCCTTGCTAAAGAAGCTGAGGGTAAAGGTGATGGATTGGCCAAGCATGGGCATCCTCAAACGGAAGGTGGAGGAGCACAAGGTCTCTTAACATCCACCAGCTCTGTGATGTCGTCATGGAGGAGTGGAAGAGGACTCCAGTGGCAACCTGTGAAGCTCTGGTGAACTCCATGCCCAAGAGGGTTAAGGCAGTGCTGGAAAATAATGGTGGGCGCACAAAATATTGACACTTTGGGCCCAATTTGGACATTTTCACTTAGGGGTGTACTCACTTTTGTGGCCAGCGGTTTAGACATTAATGGCTGTGTTGAGTTATTTTGAGGGAACAGCAAATTTACACTGTTATACAAGCTGTACACTCACTACTTAACATTGTAGCAAAGTGTAATTTCTTTAGTGTTGTCACATGAAAAGAAATAATTAAATATTTACAAAAATGTAAGGGGTGTACTCACTTCTGTGAGATACTGTGTGTGTGTATATATATAGATGTATATGTGTGTATTAACTCTCCTCTGCTCTGTGCATTGCAGGCATGAACCCATTTGGGAAGCATATGGGAATGCAGTCCATGGGCCAGAGATCTACACCTCCTCTTCCAATCAGCACACCTCTTAACCAGGTCATTACTGTGACTGGAAGTGATACCTTTTGTGGTTTAAGTTTGTTTTAAGTGTGCACAAAATATTTCTTCTAAATGCTGAATGTTTTGGCTGTTTCAGGGAAGCATGGGCAGTGTGAGGATGCCACAACCGAATGTTGCACAGATGCAAAATCAGTACAGGCAAACTGGACCATTTCAAGGTTCAAATCCTGTTCTTGGTGCTGGATCTGTTAATATGGCACACCCAGGAAATGACAGCCCTGTCACTCAAGTAAGAGGGCATAGATGTTCTCTGAATTGTATTACACTGAGCGAATATTACTTCTACTATTACACATCAATACATGTTATATTTTTGGTAGACATGTGGTCCTAGTCTTTCCCCACTGAGCGCGATGCAAAAAAGCGAGGCGAATCACGACGAACGGCGCTTTCACACCGAACGCGAAACGATTGTTCGCTTTCTGTTGATTCAGGCCTGCACGCTAGGTGGCGTCGACCAACAAGGCATTTTTTCCTCAGATATGTATCTCGTAAATGGATTTACCATAATCCACTGCTCAATATACAGCATTAAATTAAGATAAACAAGGTTCTACACCAGAAACAGACTATCTATAATGCTTACAAGAATAGGCTACATCCTAAAATATAATTAGAAGTACAATTAGCATCAAGCTACACTTGAAAATGTATGTAATTATTAATGTATTTGCTTACCCACTTTAAACCATCATCGAGTGCTTGTAATAACTTCCAGTTGTGATCTATAGTTGATTTTGGTTAAGCAGACACATGCACTCTTTGTATGTTTAATAACGCTACACTGCTAATATTTGTCATAAACATCCTTTATTGCTATAAAAATACCATGAGCTGCATACAAAACACATATAGAAAATATATCGTCATAATCCTATGTCTATTTGCTTTCATATTTCATGTGTAGAAAAAAGTGAACGCGCTCTGACTCATAACACTCGTGCACGTGGAATAAAACGGATGGTGCTCTACAGATCACATAATTCAGTGGACAATTAATAGAAATGTTATTCTGTATAAAGAGCATGTGAGAGTAAATCTGTGCTTGTTTTCAGAGGGAAAATACATACAGAGATCAGGACATACATAATTTCTCAAAGAAAAAAAATAAGAAAACGCATACATACACCTTAATGTTACTATGAAGAGTATGTATATACAGAGTATGTATGCCCTCAATCTTGAAAACAAATTTCTCAAATTTACGCATTATATTTTCTTCCTCTTAACAACAACTATAAACAAAAGAACATGGGGAGATATTGCTTACAACTCATACAAAAAGATCATTTAAAAGTACTGTTACAATTCAAGAAAAATCTGGGCGTACCGGTTTAATATAATCTATCCATTTATTCCAAATTAGAAAAAAATCTTCTGAGTTCTTAATGAAAAATATAGTTTTTCCATCACATATATAATGTGTATTGTATCAATCCACTCTTCAACTGTGGGTGACTCTGGCTTTAGCCATTTTTTAGTCATTTCTTTTTTACTAGCCGCCAGAAGAATTAACAACAATTTCTTATCCTTATTGTTCCACCCATCTAAATTTATATTACCCAAATATAGAGATTCACAATTAAAAACAATCTTTACTTCAAAAACAGCTTCCAGATTTATTTTTATCTCTTGCCAATATGGGGTTAGTTCATATTTGCCAAAAAATATGGTAGTGTTAGCTTCCTTTTCCCCACATAATCTCCAGCAGCTAGTACCCTTCCCTTGGTGATTTTTCTGTGATGGTGTAATAAAGAACCTAATAACATTCTTCCAACAAAATTCTCTCCACATGGTTGAGCTTGTAGATTTCCATTGTGTTTTACAAATTTTCTCCCAATCCTCATCTGAGACATAAAATTACCTTCCAGAGAATAAATCTGTTCTCAAATACCAATGATAACAAGAACTCTGCATGCACTCTCTTCTCTTATCTGGGATACTCTTCTTCTGTTTGTTTACACTGGTTTTCGAAACAGCGCCACCACTCTTGCCTTTTTGTGCAACAGCAGCTTCTCCGGTCACGTGATCCTAGCTCAAATCTTATTGGACGGCCTGTGTTTTCACTTTGCTAAACTGAAAAGATTCATTGGACTGGTTCGGAAAAAAACATTCGCATTTTTCCGTGCCCAAATGTTCGCGCTCTATGTAGAAGCATCCATAGAAATCTACTGTTTTATTCTAGCGTGTCATCGCCTCCGATATTCATTTCGCTTTTTCGTGGTCCGTGTGGAAAGGCCTTTAGTCATTACACATTCTAGAGCTGCAATGCATCATGTATGATACTTGCTCAGAACTGCATCATGAATGCATTCTCAGTGTTTGCTCTATTTTTATTTTGTCAGCAGGGGCAAATGCCTACTTTATCATCTTTACCAATGGGCAGTCCTTTAGCCCAGCCGGGGTCTGTTGGAGGGGCAGGCAGTGGGTCCTCAGTGGGCTCTCTGGGTCCCAACAGCATGAGTGGGGTTCCTCCATTGTCCACCACAACACAGTCAATCAGCCTCCCCCAATGCTCACCCTTCTACCAGAATTCTCCTTCCCCAGCTCATAGCCGCACACCCACGCCAACACCGGGTTCCCAGACACCCCAGCCTCACACACCCAGCCTACCCCAGTTAGCCACGAGCGGCAGTCAGCAGCAGTTACCTCCGTCCGCCAGTTCTGACAATGCCATGCAGCCTCAGCAGCAGTCATTAGGAGGAACTCCTCCTGCTGTGTCTCATAGTGGCCTCTCTACGCCAAATGCCAGCCAGCATCCCCGCACTCCAGTGAGTACTGCCGTTTGGTATGCAACAAAAATCCTGGGGCCTCATTTATAAAATCTTGCCTAGAATGATCCTAAATGTGAATGTTTGACAACTTCTGAAATGTTCCTACGAGTAATTTATAAAATGTCCATACGCACAAAAATATTCCTAAATGCATTCCACTTTGAGGAAGTACAGTGTTAAAGGGATAGTTCACACAAAAATGAAAATTACCCCATGACTTACTCCCCCTCAAGCCATCCTGGGTGTATATGGCTTTCTTCTTTACAATTGGAGTTATATTAAAAAATGTCCTGGCTATTCCAAGCTTTATAATGGCAGTGAATGGTGGTCGAGATTTTGAAGCCCCAAAAATTGCATCCATCCATCATAAAAAGTACTCCACACGGCTCCGGGGGGTTAATAAAGGCCTTCTGAAGTGAATTGATGCATTTGTTTAAGAAAGATATTCATATTTAAAACTCTATAAACTGTAATCTCTAGCTTCCACTAACTGTTGTACATGCTTTCATGAGAGATCCGATTGTATTTGTCTGAAAGAAGAAAAATCGGGAGTAATTAAAATTTTTTGGGTGAACTATCCCTTTAACAAACGCATCGACTCCACATTTAAAATAGCTACAAATTTCCCTTTATGGTTCAGAAGTATGGCCTCCATAATCAAGCTTAAAGGGTTAGGTCACCCAAAAATGAAAATTTAGGCTGTTGGCATCCTAGGTCTGTATGACTTTCTTCTTTCAGACGAATCCAGTCTGAGTTATATAAAATTGTCCTGGCTATTCCAAGCTCTATCATTGCAGTCAGCGGGTGTTGCAGTGCTTCAGTCCAAAAGAATTGAAATGAAATGAAATAAGCGCCCATCCATAAAAAAAAGTGTCTCACACGGCTCCGGGGGTGAACAAAGGCCTCCTGTAGCGAATCGATGCGCTTTTGTAAAAAAAATAACCATGTTTAAAACATAATAATCAATTTAATCTAGCTTGCGCTCACTGTTGTAAACGGAAGCAGTTCCGGGTGGATGACGTATGAGGTCAGCTTTGCGCATACGCCGCTCCAGTGTTGCCAAGTCCACGGTTTTCCTGTCCGCGCCGTTCAGAAGAGATCAAAACAACGGTCACGAATTAGAAGTACAAAACGAGGATTTGTAAAGAAGAATGTCAGAGGATTTCGATATAAGCCAAGAGGAGACTAAAGAACTGTGCTAAAGTAAGGAAACTTTGCTTCCTTTGCTCCTGTTAACAAACGTTGGTTTTCACGAGACTCACTGGCGCATGCGCAGCACTTTCCTCATACGTCATCAGCCCAGAACTGCTTCCATGTACAACTGTTGGCGCAAGCTAGATTAAAGTGATTATTACGTTTTGAATATGGATATTTTTCTTACAAAAACGCATCGATTCGCTACAGTAGGCCTTTGTTCACCCTCTGGAGCCGTGTGAGACACTTTTTTTTTTTTAATGGAGGGGCGCTTTTTATTTCCCTTCTTTTGGACTGAAGCACTGCAACACCCGCTGACTGCAATGATAGAGCTTGGAATAGCCAGGACAATTTTTAATATAACTCCGACTGGATTCGTCTGACAGAAGAAAGTCATATACACCTAGGATGCCTCGGGGGTGAGTAAAACACAGCCTAATTTTATTTTTTCTGTGAACTAACCCTTTAAATATAAAAATATAAATGTACTTAATTATTTATCAGAAAACCATAGATAATTAATGATTTAATTTCAGTGACGTGGCCTCAGTTTTGGATCTCTCTACACTTCTTTTTTTTTTTTTCCTCTCCTGTCTCAAGTTGTCTCATAAGGGTTCTGTACCAGTGGACAGCCAGGCTGTTACCCCTGCCTCCGTCAGCAGTGCAGACACATCATTTCAGCACGGTCCTTCAGACGCCACAGCCACCCTTGAGCCTAAGGTGGAGGTCAAGCAGAAAGTAGATGAGGATGAGGATGAAGAAGGCATGACAGGAGGTAAAACGGGAAAACATGAAGATATTAAAGCTGAGGAAAAGCCTGAGGTAAGAAATGGAAGTTTCATTTTCAGTAAATAAGAATTCTGAAGTCTAAAGAGTATTAATTCTCCCCCCTTTCTTTAAAAATTATTCAACGTGGATTGACTGCTTTCTTTGTGACTTATCAGAAAAAGAAAGAGGAGCCGAGTGATGGTGTGCCAATGGAGACTTCTTCCACTGCAACTGGGGAGAACAAAAAGCCAGACATAAATTCTGAGCCTAAAGAAGAGGAGGAGGGTTCAGGGTCTACAGCAAACCACAGTTCACCTTCTGGATTCCCTAACAAAAAGAAAAGTATGATCAGAACCCACCTTTGTATTTTAGCTGCTAGAGTTGTCTTCAGTATGAACCCAACCACTGGTACCTTGGTATTGATGCTCTAAGCATATAATGGGCAACAATTAAATAGCCATGAAACACATTTAATCTCACACATCAACAGATACATTTTACTCTCTATTTGACCACAGATATGTTTGTAATTTGATGCTTTAGGCTTGCTTAAATTGAATCTCACCATCAGTAATGACTGAAGCGTTGATTTCAGATTTAGTTTTAAGCCATTAGAAATATTTTAAAGGGGTCATATGATGCGATTTCAAGTTTTCCTTTCTCTTTGGAGTGTTACAAGTTGTTCGTGCATAGATAAGATCCCTAAAGTTGCAAAGACTAAAGTCTCAAACCCAAAGAGATATTCTTTATAAAAGTTAAAGGGATAGTTTACCCAAAAATTTCAATTTTATGTTTATCTGCTTACCCCCAGGGCATCCAAGATGTAGGTGACTTTGGTTCTTCAGTAGAACACAAACAGGTTTTTAACTCAATCCGTTGCAGTCTGTCAGTCATATAATGTAAGTTAATGGAATCACGGCTTTGAGAGTCAAAAAAACATACACAAACAAAACCAAATTAAACCCTGCGGCTCGTGACGATACATTGATGTGTAAAGACATGAAACGATCGGTCTGTTCAAGAAACTGAACAGTATTTATATAGTTTTTTTTAACCTCTGATTCACGCAATGTCTGAACTGTCCTGAGCGCGTTCGCGTCTTCTTCTTCAGCCGGCGCGTGACGCATCTTCTTTCTTTACGGCAGATCGCAGACTTATAAGTGCATTACCACCTATCTCTCAAATGGACCATTTACACTCCTAATTGAGATTGTAGATAGTGTCAGTGGTCCATTTGAGAGATGGGTGGCGGTAATGCACTTATAAGTCTGCGATCTACCATAAAGCAAAGCCTAAAACACCTCGTTTAAACACGCCCTACATGTCTACGTCACTGTGTGGGAAGATTTGCATAACACTGCCCAAATGTATACGCAAAGAAAGAAGGCGTAACTTTGATTCTCGCTGTAGTATTGTTGCTGCTGCCGCCGCCGCCATGTCGTGGAGATACTGTGTTTCGTAGTGAAAGCGAAACTACTTCGTTTGGCCTTTCAAAAGAGGACACAACTAGAAATCAGTGGTTAAATTGTATTTACAACACTGTTCCAGAACAGTTCAAACCAAATATTCAGATGTGTGCAGCGCATTTAATGGAGGACTGTTTCCTGAACCTACAATGCCAGCTTGTTCTGACTCACAACCTGTAAGTATGTTCTCATATTTAAAGAATTTGCCATTGATTCAAATGCGAATTTTGAGCAGTGTAGTGTAGCGCTTGTTGTTTGTCGTTTCTCCGATCACAAATGCAGACATGGTTTTATGTTTATGCGGCACGATGTAACGCAAAGCGTAAAAAGACAGTATAAGTCATTATAATCCGTAATTATGTCCCCACTGGATGCAACAAATGCCTCGTTTGTAATGGGCTTTATTGTTTTTGTCTCGTCGCACCGGGACACAACATTACAATATGGTAAGGGGCATAACATTTCCGTCACACGCTTGAGGTATTCGGCCAATCACAACGCACTAGATACAGTGGGGAAAAAAAGTATTTAGTCAGCCACCAATTGTGCAAGTTCTCCCACTTACCAATCAGAGCACACCTCGCTTTTCAAAACGAGGAGCTTTGTAAAAATCGACGTGTTTCAGAAAGGTGGGGCATAGAGGAGAAACAATAATGTTCAGTATGTGGAAAATAATACCTAAAGCTACGGCATGCTTAGCAAACCAACATGTTACTGAACAACTAGCCTGACTGAGACCTGGATTCGTCCAGAAGACTCAGCAACCCCAGCTGCTCTTTCGAACAATTTCTCTTTCTCTCATACCCCCCGTCAGGTTGGCCGGGGTGGGGGCACTGGTCTGCTCATTTCTAACAATTGGAAATACTCAACCCACTCTCCCCTATGCAATTACAACTCATTTGAATCCCATGTGATCACTATAACAGCTCCCGTAAAACTCCAGGTTGTGGTAATTTACCGCCCTCCTGGGCAAATTCTATCCGCCTTCCTAGAAGAGATGGATGGGCTGCTGTCCTCATTCCCGGAGGATGGCAGTCCACTTTTAGTCTTTGGCGACTTCAGCATTCATCTGGACAAGCCTTATGCTACAGACTTCCATTCACTCCTTGCTTCATTTGATCTCAAACGACTTACCACCACAAGCACGCACAAATCAGGCAACCAACTTGACTTAATTTACACACGCAGTTGTACGGAATGCTGAATCCCTGACAATTTTCAAGCGACAGCTGAAAACTCATCTCTTTCGAAGCTACTTGACTTCATCATAAAAAATAAAAAAAAGTATCTCTCTCTTTATTTGGTGTAATGCAATGTGTTTACGTGGTTTAAGGTTAAAAAAACATTATTTTCCACATACTGTACATTATTGTTGCTCCTCTATGCACCGCCATTCTGAAGCTCGTCGATTTTTACAAAGTTAATCGATCTGAAAATCGCGGTGTGCCCTGATTGGCTAGCTATCTAGTGCATTGTGATTGGCCGAATACCTCAACGTGTGATGGAAATGTTATGCCCCTTACCAGGTTCAGGAAACTTTCCTCTGTAAAATGCGCTGCACACACTTGAATATTTCACTCACGATGTTATGCAAATCTTCCCACACAGTGACGTAGATATGTGGGGGCGTGTTTGAACGAGGCATTTTAGGAAGCTGTGGCTGAGCATTCACTTTTATGAAAAATATCTCTTTGGGTTTGAGACTTTAATCTTTGCGACTTTATGAATCTTCTGTATGCACGAACAGCTTTTAACACTCCAAAGACAAAGGAAAACATGAAATTGCATCATATGACCTCATTAAATATTTACTATTGCATGTATTTCCAGATTTTAAGAACGATGTTGTAGTAATTCTGATTCTCTTACTTGCTTTGTCGTCAGTTTTTAAGCCAGAGGAGCTGAGGCAGGCCCTGATGCCCACACTGGAGTCTCTTTACCGCCAGGACCCTGAGTCTCTGCCCTTCCGCCAGCCTGTGGACCCTTCACTACTGGGAATACCAGTACGTCTGCTGTCTGGTCACAACCACCTTAATACAGTGCTGTTTTTGGCCTAACATAACCATACTATTAAAGTCCCCATGAAATCAAATTTAAAGTATCAATATGTTAGTCTTAAGGTTATCTATAAGGCAGTGTGCTCCAAAACAGTGACAAAATTTGCATTTAGAAGATATAAGCATTCAAAGCTTGCAGTTCGTCACTTCCACCAAAACGGCTCAATGAATTTTTTGACGTCACATCGTACTTCAGCTTCTCATCAAACTTTCTGTCCAATCAAATGCTCTCTAGAATCTGAAGCGCCCGCCCCCTACACTATAAAATAGACGCTGAAGTCTACGGGTGAAATCGGTCACTTGTCCACAGAATTAGTATTTTCTGTACAGTGAATGGCACCTAGTGCACTATATAGGGGACAGGGAACGATTCAAACAGTGTAAATATGCTTTCCATTGAGGAAAAAAAGAAGTCTGGTTTCGTGCCGTCTCACTCTAACCACCGCACCGCGCACACACTCTGCTCCGGTCCAGAGACACGATAGCACATAGCAGATCACATGCGCGAGTCGGCGCAGACCTCAAAATGTATCGGCGCTATTTGAATTCTACACAGAATGCTATATCTTATAGCAATATGGATGAGATTGTGGCTGGCATACCCTGTCAAATGCGGCTTTACGGAGCTCAACGGCTCTAGCCCAAGCTGTGATATAAACGAACGCTATTGGCTATTTTAAAAAGGGGTGGGGCTGCTTTATATGTCCCGCCCTGTCTTCCCGTTTCAGTTAAAATGACGTCAACACATAGAGTAACGCTGCGTGTTTCTAAGCATTTCAGGGGACCTTTAAAGGATAATTCGCTGGTTTTTTTTTCCAAGCAGTTTTGCATTGTTACAATGTTAATAATACATGTAAATGAACAAGGTGTACTCTTTCTCTGTTACGTACACCCAGACATCCCCTTTTATCAGCAAAAATCAGGCTCCAGCAGACTACTGACACCTTCAAGGCTTTTGTTATAACTACAGATTGAACTTCTGAATTTTTGTTTTCTAGCCACGGCCAATCAGATCAACAGAGGGGCGGCGGCAAAGTCAGTTTTGATCAAATAAGAGAATGCCACAGCCCCTGTTCTCTGTTTTCTCTAATCATGTAGCACCGATTTCAAAATGTGCATTTTTTTTTTATAGCAAAGCTGAATTTTCTTTCAAAATTTTTACTGACCATAAACGTTTAAATGTGTATAATTGGAAATGTGCATTATTGGGAGGAATCCGTTGTGGGATTTCAAATGCATTCTAAATGCTGAAAATGAATGTATTAAGTTAGTTCTCTCACATGTAAATGGATATTTCTACTTGACTAATATTCAACATTGTCACTTGTGATGAATTACAGGACTATTTTGACATAGTGAAGAATCCCATGGACTTGTCTACTATCAAACGGAAGCTCGACACGGGCCAGTACCAAAGACAATTTTTTTTAAGATCATGTATTATTTATGTTCTTATTCATTTAAATCTCCTGACATCCACTTAAAATTTTAGTCAGTTTCTTGAAACAAAAAGTCATAATTTTTACAAGGCCATTTTTCACCATCTCTGTGACCCTTTAAATCAAATGGCCTGTTTGTGCCTGTATAACTAATTTTGGTTGATCATATGTTAATGTTTTCATAGTACATAGATATATTGTAAATAAAAGAGGTATATTTCTCATTGTATGACCCATTTAATGTCTTGTCATGATTTTCAGTGATTTAATTTCAGTAATTGCTTGTAAACCTATACAAAATGTATGAAGATTAAGCCAGTGTCATGAAAGGAGCAATTCTTATTTTTTTAAAGAGACACCTTTAAAATGCCTGTTTGCTTGACTTTGTGGCTGCAGTCTTTTTGTTTATGTTTAATGTGCTCATGTGTCCATAAGTCTCAACAACACCCTTCGCAATTGTATCTGCTCCTGTTTTGCTATAATGGGTTTTCCTCATTATACATGTAAATGCTAATCTGTGCTTTGCTTTGGCTTTCTGCTTGTCTCTGTTGTCTCCCTCCTTATTCCTCCATTTCTGTCCTGTCTAATGATTTTCTTTGTCAACACTTTTCTTTTCCCCTGTACTTTGATGTTTGTCGTGTCTGCTATCGCCTGCTTTCATCTGACCAATCATCTGCCCCTAAACCCCTCCCTGCTCAAAAACCCCTGCTCCAAAATCCTGCATGATGACTGGCTCCTCTGGCGACGATCCTGTCCTGCGCTCGCCCTTTGGCCTGTCTGCCCTGCCCTGCCTTGTCCTGCACTGATTGGTGGCTACCTCCTCGTTGCCTCTCTGTGATTGGCTGTGTGTTGGCGCATGGTGTAGTTCACCAAAATATGGGCTTCTTGCTGACAGGTATCACTTCTGTGAAAAGTGTTTCAATGAGATCCAGGGTGAGAGTGTGTCCTTGGGAGATGACCCATCCCAACCTCAAACGTAAGTGATTTCTTTCACACTATTTTTAATCAGTGTTTTATTATAGTGCGATCTTTTTTTTTTCTCCGTCAAAACAAGTTTGTCAGTTCTTTCTAGTGTCTGCAGTATTTTTATAAGTTTTAATAAGACTTATGCCACAGAAGTTTGTGTGATAATGTCACATTCCTAGAGTTAAAACCGTTTACAGATGTAGTACATTTTCTATCGTGTTCTGTCAGACTGACAGATATTTACAGGTTTTGGAGTAATTTATTATCTGCATTCAACTACACAAGTAATAAGGACAAGCATTTACACCACTGACCTCAGAATGTGGTTTTAGTGATCCACACACACAAATCAAGTGTAAATGCACCCAGAACTCATTATGCAGTCAAGTGTAATCCGTTTTCTGAACACAGAAAATGCGTAGTAATTGCCATGTAAAGGGCCTAAGAGTTAATGTAACAAAATAAAACTTGAGATTTTGAAGCAGATGATAAATGCATCTTTGATACTGCAGAATCCTTTTCTTGTTTTAATAATTTTACAATTTGCATGTATTTCCAGATCGATCAACAAGGATCAGTTTGAAAAGAAGAAAAATGACACGCTCGACCCTGAGCTGTAAGTTCATATAACCTTGATTCCAATTTTGTTTGCTCATCAAAATTCTCAGAATTAACACTTTTTCCCCCCCTCATTTTCTCTGTAGATTTGTGGAATGTATGGATTGTGGTCGTAAGATGCATCAGATCTGTGTTTTGCACAATGACACTATATGGCCATCAGGGTGAGTTTGCTGCAAAGAAATTGATTACAACTGTCAACTGAGAGTGCTCTTTGAATGGTGTTTCTAACCCCAACATTCCCTTTTTCCCTCTTTTAGCTTTGTGTGTGATGGCTGTTTGAAGAAGTCCAACAAGAACCGTAAAGAAAATAAATATGCTGCTAAAAGTATGTAATTCCATTTTCAATGTTTTCTTCTCACTAATAGTCCAATTAATAAAGACATTTAAACCATATTTGTTTTTTTTTCTTTTTGTTCAGGGCTTCCACAGACCAAACTAGGCATCTACTTGGAAACGCGGGTTAATGACTTTCTGAAGCGACATAATCACCCAGAATCTGGTGAAGTCACTATTCGTGTTGTTCATGTCTCAGACAAAGTGGTGGAAGTCAAACCAGGCATGAAGTCTAGGTGAGATAGATTACGACCAGACACTCACGTTTAATATAACACATTTATTTGTTGGATGTTTCAAGAATGGTTCCTTCAAAACAGTCTGTCATTTATATTCTTGCTGTGAAGCCACGTTTGTTTATAATGTAAAGCTATAAATCGAGGTGGGCCTATAAATTATAATAATAACTGTCATCATTGCTTGTTTGTCTGCTTGGATTTTAATGACATCCTTTCTTTTTTACAGGTTTGTGGATAGTGGAGAGATGGCAGAGTCTTTCCCATACCGAACGAAAGCTTTATTTGCATTTGAGGAGGTTGATGGTGTTGATGTCTGTTTTTTTGGGATGCACGTGCAAGAGTATGGCTCAGATTGTCCACCCCCTAATCAAAGGTCAGGCATATGTAACTGCTTTTTATTATTTGATGGGTCTGTTTTTGTTTCTTGCTAAAGTCCCCCCCCCTCCATCCTTTAGACGGGTTTACGTATCCTATCTGGACAGTGTCCACTTCTTTCAGCCACACAGTCTGAGAACAAGTGTGTACCATGAGATTCTTATAGGATATCTGGACTATGTCAAAAAACAAGGGTAAGATGATACTCCCCTATCCTACTGTCAGCCACTAACTCACGCTCACATGCTTTTTTGCCTTGTGAAATTCTTAGTTAAACCTTTTGTAAACCTTTTTAGGTTTACCACAGGACACATCTGGGCCTGCCCTCCTAGTGAAGGAGATGATTACATCTTCCACTGTCATCCTCCAGACCAGAAGATACCCAAGCCGAAGCGGCTGCAGGAGTGGTATAGGAAGATGCTGGATAAAGCTGTAGCAGAGCGCATTGTCCATGACTACAAGGTACAATTTAGACACTGTTATTGTAAAAATGTTTCATTATAAATGTTTTCACTTTATCAGCTTATTAATGTGTGAACAAAATGTGCTGAAGTATTGAGTTTATTGAATTATTATTATTATTATATATATATATTTTTTTTACAGGACATCTTCAAACAGGCAACAGAGGATCGTCTCACCAGCGCCAAAGAACTGCCCTATTTTGAGGGGGATTTCTGGCCCAATGTGCTTGAAGAGAGTATCAAAGAACTAGAGCAAGAAGAGGAGGAAAGGAAGAGGGAGGAGAACAGCACATCCAATGAGAGTGTTGATGTTAGTCTTTAAGCTCTCGCTTATCTCGTGTTTTGTTCCCTTGTTAAAGTGCTTTTTTACAAAACTTTGAACATTTCTCACCGTTTCTCCAGACAACAAAAGGTGACAGCAAAAATGCCAAGAAAAAGAACAACAAGAAGACGAGCAAGAACAAGAGCAATTTAAGCCGAGCCAACAAAAAGAAGCCGGGGATGCCAAATGTGTCCAATGACCTTTCACAGAAACTCTATGCCACAATGGAAAAGCACAAAGAGGTATGAAGAGGACTAAAGCCTCATTTCAATGTGTGTACTAAGATTGTAGCAAGAAACATTGTCAAACTTTTAGTTTTTGTCAAGTTTGGTGGCATCCTGGTCAATATTTTTTATGTTAATATATGCATTGGCATAATGATTTTTTTTTATCTCAACATTTTTCTTCCTTGTAAGGTGTTCTTTGTTATCCGACTGATTGCGGCACCCAATTCCAATTCTCTCCTGCCCATTGTTGACCTGGATCCTTTGATGGCATGTGATTTGATGGATGGTCGTGATGCCTTCTTAACACTTGCACGGGATAAGCACCTGGAGTTTTCTTCAATGCGGCGCTCCAAATGGAGCACCATGTGCATGCTGGTGGAACTGCACAATCAGAGCCAGGACCGCTTTGTCTATACCTGCAATGAGTGCAGGCACCATGTTGAAACTCGCTTCCATTGCACTGTTTGTGAGGTGAGGACTATAGAATGGGAGGGGTGGGAAGATTGCATAAGATCATTATTATTTTTACGTGTTTTATGTGTAAAGCTGATATGCCGTTTTTCTCAGGACAGACACAAATTGAGACCCTTTTTGCTGTGTCCTCTATTATTCAAAATGTGTGCCAGGAATAACAGGATGTCTGCTCACCCTAGTTATAGAAATAATCAGTTGTACTTAATGCTGGTAATTAATGTCCATTCATCCAGTACACTATTTAATGATTCTAACCTCTCCTTCACAGGACTATGATCTCTGCATCACTTGCTACAATACAAAAGGTCACAAGCACAAGATGGAAAAACTGGGCTTGGGGTTGGATGATGAAAGCAACAACCAGGCTCCTTCCTCAACACAGAATCCTGGAGACTCACGGCGTCTCAGTATTCAGAGGTGCATCCAGTCTCTGGTGCATGCCTGCCAGTGTCGCAATGCCAACTGCTCACTTTCATCTTGCCAGAAAATGAAACGTGTAATTCAACATACCAAAGGCTGCAAACGTAAAACCAATGGTGGTTGTCCTATCTGCAAGCAGCTCATCGCACTCTGTTGTTACCATGCAAAACACTGCCAAGAGAACAAGTGCCCTGTGCCATTCTGCCTCAACATCAAGCAGAAACTGAAGCAACAACAGCTCCAGCACAGGCTACAGCAGGCCCAGATGGTGCGTAGAAGAATGGCCAGCATGCAAAGGACAGGCCAGCAGATTTCGGGAGGCAATGGTGGGCTGCCATCTCCTGGAAACAGTAGTACTACTGGTCCAAGCACACCAACACCAAGCACTCAGCCACCTACCCCACAGACGCCCACTCAGCAATGCCAGACTCCAGTGACTCAACCTGGCGTTGGAGGTGTTCCATCACAACAGCAACAGCAGTTGGCAGGGATAGCCCATCAATACCAGCAAATGACTGGAAGTGGTGGGATGTTGAATTCCTTGCAGCAGCCCATGATCCCACAGCAGCAGCAACAGCTGACATCAGTTCAGCATCTTCAGCATGCCAACAACCTTCCTCCATATGTGCAAAGACCTCCAGGCTCCTCTCCACTTTCTCAATCAATGGGAAAGCCAGGCATGGTGCCAGGCAGCTTCCCTCAACAGCAACAGTCGAACTTGGGGCAGCCTGTGATGCATCAGCTACCTGGCCCCCCACCTGCTGCTGTAGAAATTGCCTTGAAGATTCAACGAGTCGCAGAGACTCAACGGCAAATGGCTCAGCAAAAGATCCTGCAAAGAAACCAGGCCCCTGGAATGATGCCTCCACATGGTCTTCATCAGGGTCCCCAAACTCAAAGCCAGATAGTCATGAACCTTCCTGGAGCTGCAATGGTTGGGCCTCAGGGAATGCCACCCCAGACACAAGCAGCAGTGGCCCGAACTCACATGGATCAGCAGCAGGGAATGATTACAGCAGGCATGCAGCAGCAGCAGACAGGACCTCAGGCTCAGCTCCCTCAAGTCCAGTTACAGCAGGGCCAGCAAGGAGCACCCCAACTTCAGGTGCCTCCACAGCAGCAGTGGACTGGTCCTGGCATGCCTCCTCAGCAGAGACCTGGGGTAATGAACCAAATGGGTCTGCAAAGAATGGTTGCACCTCAACAACAACAACAACAACAGCAGCAGACAGTTGGTCAACAGCAGCAGCAAGGGCATTCTGGTGTAATGGGAATGATAAGTGGCCAAGGAGGGGCTGCACCTGCAGGTGGTGGCCCTGGAAATCACTCTCAGGCTGCCATACAGGACCTCCTAAGAACCTTAAGGTTACCCAGCTCTCCCCATCAACAACAGCAAGTCCTGAATATACTACGTTCAAACCCTCAGCTCATGGCAACCTTTATCAGGCAACGCGTTCCTAGGTACCTTGGTCGAGGCGGGCCTGGAGCAGGAGGTGGGGGTGTAACAGGAGGACCTGGTGGAGGTCCAGGAATCATTGATGGCCAGCAAATGAATGTAAATCCTGGGACAGCTCAAGGAGGTATGCATATGGCACAAGGAACTAGCATGAATCAGCTTCAGCAGCACCAGCTTCAGCAGCACCAACTTCAGCAGCGGTCTATGATGGGAGGGAATTTGCAGCAACAACAGCAAATGGCAGTATTACAACAGCAGCAGCAGCAACAACAGCAGCAGCAAGGTGTTATGCCCAATCAGGGTGCCAACATATCTAACATCTCCCCCCAGTTCAGAGAAATAATGAGGCGGCATTTGCAGCAGCAGCAGCAACAGCAGCAGCAGCAACATATGGAAAATAATGCTCAGTTCCAACATCCTCAACCACCCCATCAGCAGGGTTATCTTGGCCAATCTGCAATCCCCCCACAGCAGCCTGGCCAACCTCAGCCTGGCGGTCTCCAGCAGCAACAGGGAGGTACCCAGCCTGGGACCCAACAAAACTATTCTGGGTCTGTGTCCCATCAGCAGGTTGCAGCAGCTCTGCAACAAAGGTTGCAGCTTCACCAACTTCAGATGCAGCAGCAGCAGCAACAACAACAACAGCAAAGTGCTATGGCAGGACTCCAAGGTGCTGATGTACGTCCTGGAGGCGGTGGTCCCCTCCAGCAGCAACAGATGCAATCGGCTCCGATTGGTTCACAGCCTCAAGCCATGCTTCAGCAAGCTTTGCAGCAACGGCGCCTCCAGCAACAACAGTCACGTTTAGGAGGAGGATCTCCTGCTCAACACAATCCCATGAGCCCCCAGCAGCAGATGTCTCAATCTCCCCATTTGCAGGGCCAGCAGTTGCCTAATTCTCTAAGCAACCAAGTCCGCTCACCACAGCCGTCGCCTCGGCCCCAGTCCCAGCCCCAGCCACCAAACTCTAGTCCATCTCCTCGCTTGCAGCCCCAGCCTTCACCCCATCGCATCTCGCCCCAAACCCAGATGGGATCCCCTCACCCAGGTCATCTTTCTCAGCATCACGGTGGCATGGTTGCTCCTCCACCTTCACAACAACAACCGCAGGCATCCCAACAGCAGCAACAGGCTAATGCGATGGACCAGGGCCCATTTGGAGGAGACCAGAGTGCCATGCTTTCACAGCTAGGTGGGATGGGAGCCTTGCATGGGCAAGGGACAAATGACATGCTGACAAATAACCAAGATATGAATCACTCGTTAGATTTGATGTAATGTTGCAGTGTTCAAAGAACTGTCCTGATTGCCAGAGTTTGGTAGCAAATCTAGGATTTACAAAGACTGTCATCGATAGTATTATTATTACTATTATTATTTAATATTTTTCTTATGTAATTGAAAAGAACTGAACTTCCTATGGGAGATACTACATGTGCAAGTCAACAAATTAAGTTAAATGAATGGTAAATTATTGCTGTTAATATATAAATATATATAAATATATTTTTTGCCAATTGAGTTCAAAGGGTTTTGGGTTAAGAGATGGAAAATATTTCCTCTTGGTATATGACCAGAAATATTTTTGGGGTTAAGAAGTCTGTCTTTTTTTATAGATATTTAAAAAAAATTTAAAAGTGGCATAAAATTATAAAGCAAAATGCGTAAACAAAATGGACTATTTTTATTTTTTTTTTCCTCAAAACAGTCAAGAATGTCATCAGTTTTGGAGAGTATTCGATTTATTTTCTCCAATGTAATGATTATGAAAATGATGGCATTGGTAATTATTTATTACTCTACACTTTTGGTTTGCTAATAGATATTTTCCTGTTCTTCTGTTTTGGACAATGTATGGCATATACTAATTGAACCTACAATTTTTGAAGAGTATATTTTTGTTATTGATAGAACCTGACTATAAAAGGATGAATTTATATTCTTCTACTTCCCCCTTACTAGTGTGTGTTTTTTTTGATGGCTTGTTGCATGGGAAATATTTGTCCTGTGCATGTCACAGTTTTCCCACCCTCATACACCCCTGTCCCATGAATGTTTTCATTATGCCCTTCTCAGTAATGGAACCTGATGACACTACAGGTGTGTTTAGGACAGTGTAGGGAAATTTACTGAGACTAAATGTTGATGGGGGATTATGGATTTCGCAAATAATCACCCTGGAACTACCCGCTTTCATCTCTGACTACCAAGTCCTTCTCTTTCCTCCCACATCTCCCCAGCAAGGAATTGTTGACACGCATCTCTAGTGTTCTGAACTTTGGGATTTAAGTGGTCTCCTTAATGTATATACAAAAACTGAAAATAAATTACTGAAAAGGAATTGTCTTTGTAAAAAAAAAAATATATATATATATATATAGTGTGTGTGAATGGAGATAAATGGACAGATGTTTCTCTTGATTTAAGATCCTTTGAGTTGAAGAACTATGGGCAGCTTAGACTTAATCTGAGAGATTTTTATACATAAATGGAGTGCAAGTCAGACAAGCACCAATGCGCCTTTGTATGTGTAATTCATTACAAGGATTTCATTCATGTAATAAACTAACACTGACTGTCATTATCTCCATCCTGTGCACAAATACAGTAGGAAAGACTTTGGATGGTCTTTTTGATTATATGACAATAACCTATAAATTAATTGTTTTGCTTGGTTAAAGGGTGATGAATACAAAACAGAGGCAATATGGCTAGACTTATTTTATAAATAATAACAATATTTGTTTTATATATATATAGATATATTTAATTTTATTTTTGCGAATAAAAAACTTGAAGCTGATTCAAGAGTTGATATTGAATTACACTTTTTCAAAGATGAATTGATGCAACATGACACTGCTGTCATACCATATACGTCCCGCTTTGGGAATAATGAGTAATATCATGGCATTTTAAGGAAATGTCTTATGGGTGCATATAGAGGTATATAGATTATGATTCACTGTACAAACCATGGCAATTTGCTTTGAACTGTAAATTACTTCTTTTTTTTTTTTAACGGACTGGAAAACCAACCATACAGTTTTACGGTTCCTAGTTTTGACCACTTTTCTCTTGCTAACACTTTGGTGCTTGCTGAGAGGAGCAACAACTTGCTCTGAGTTCAGTCGTTTTACTGTTTGTTTGGTTGGTTGTCTGTTCTTTTTTTTTTTGCAAGTTAAGTTATGGTGGTCAGATTTTTTGCCAATTATTTAATTGTACATTAAAATATGTTTGTACCATTCAAAAATATTTGGCTTCTGGTGTGGTGTAATTCTTACATTGTAGATGTGGAGCTGGAACAATGTCAACCTAAGGTGGTTTGAGACAAAGTTAATCCACACATTGCTGATTAAATATAAAAAAATTAATGGATAATGATACAGTTACACCAAGGTTTTATTTATGGCATCATAATACCAAGTTTTCTATTTTAAAGTGCAAATACTTTTAATAGCAAAAGCAACCACAGACATTTGGCACAGACATAGTCTATCAAATATATACAGGTCACATGATGTCAGATATTAAACAGTTGAGCCCCCAGAGATGGACATTCCTAGAGGCTAAATATACATTTGCCTCAATATAGAAATCATCAATATTTTATTTTGGTCTTCAGGTCTCAGTTTTCATCTTGGACTAAAATAACACCAAATATAAACAGTAGTCAAGTTAAATCTAACATGGTAGACTACTGTGCAAGATGGTGCATACTTGTCAGGACAAAAAAATTGCACAAACACTGCAAATAGATATTAGCAAGCAAGTGTTGGGAAAAAAATAAAATGCAACTTTATTTCATACACATAATTACGCTCAAAGTTAGAGCATAATTGTGCGATGATGAGGAGTGCAGTTTTTTTTCCCCCACACCATAATATTTTGTTTATGAAGTGTCAAGAACGGCACACAACGCTGTATTTTGTATTTAACATATTTTAAGTATCAGGAGGCCACTAATTCTAATTTACTACATTAGGTGCAATTTAAATTGAAGGTCAAGATTAGAATGTTTACCAAGTATACAGTATATATATATATATACACACATACATACATACATCCACGTAATGTGAATATGTATGTGACAACTTTGCTTTTAGGAATACTTAATTGTGCGACTTACTCTGAACTACCATTATGTATTTCATGCAAATACATGACTAGACCAAATGAAGATTATCCCATTTAGTTAAATCTGTAAACTTCACTGCAATCCAGTATCAGAGAACTGGCTTGATTTGTTTCATGGTCAATACAAGTTCACAATTTCATCATACTATCAGTACTGTCATTAAATGGACTGTTACTTTGATTGATTGTAATCGCGGAAACATTTTGGAAAGTTTGAACTCATTTAGAACTAATAGTGCAAATAAATGTAGTCTGAAACACTGGCGGAGGTTGTGCAAGCACATAATCAACAATGCAAAACAAGGGATGTACCAATTCTCGTTCTGACCCCCCTCAGTCTCTGTAATGTTAGATCTCCATCTCCCAGCTCCTGAAGAAGCCCCTTGCTACCAAGGCCTCTCTAAAAGTCACAGTCAGTGAGTTGATGGTGATATCTGTCACAATGACCTCCTCTGGGCCCATAACTGGACTCCAGTCTTCAGGTAAAGGAGATATAGTCATTGCCGCTGATTCAGTGGTTGGAATCCAGCGTCCTCTCCTGACATGCTCTGAGACACAGAGTACATTTTGTACATATTTTGACCTTCATCATGTTATATAAATGTTAAAGAATCATATAAACAATTATTGTACAGGGTACTGTTTTAGATGCTTTTAGACGAGTTGTTTTAAGAACACGCTTAATTTAATAATACTGTAGTTGTGTCCCACATTACTACTTGTATTAATAAGGGCAAATAATAATGCAAAAGTAGCCTACACAAAATTAGGACACACCAAGTTAAATGTCATTTTTAACAAATCTCTAAATGAATATCCATTTTTACATTATAATGTAAAAATATATTAAATATTTGAACATTATATATACAGTGCTGTGAAAAGGTTTCTGCCCCCTTCCTGTTTTTAACATTTTTTGCATATTTGTCACACTTAAAAGATTCAGATCATCAAACAAATTTTTATATTACACAAAGATATTGCAAGTAAATACAAAATGCAGTTTTTAAATGATGATTTCATTTATTAAGGGAAAAAAGCTGTCCAAACCTACGTGGCCCTACGTGAAAAATTAATTGCCCCCTCCTGTTAAATCATGAAAGAACTGCAATTAACCACATTATTTTAGAAAGCTGAGTTAAATTTCACTAGCCACACCCAGGCCTGATTACTGCCAGACCTGTTGAATCAAGAAATCACTTAAATATCTCTTATGCCCACCAAGACTGAAATACAGTAACAACAGTAATACTGTGAAATAGTATTACGATTTAAAAGAATTGTCACCTATTTTAATTTAGAATGTAATTCATTCCTGTGATGGCACAGCAGCCATTACTCCAGTCTTCAGTGTCACGTGATCTTTCAGAAATCATTCTGTAATTAATTCTGTAATATTTTTTTAAAATTTATTATTGGTATTCAATAATTAACAAGGGTTCTTATCACTAACAAATTGTTTTGCTGCTTAATATTCTTGTGGAAATGTTTTGTGGAAAACATCAAACATTAGGATTTATTGATTAATAAAAAGTTTAAAAGAATTGCATTTATTTGAAATAGAAATATTTCTTTACTGTCACTTTTGATCAGTTTAATACATTCTTGCTCAAAAGTATTGATGTTTGGTTTTAAATTTTAGCTTTGCCATCACAGGAATAAAATAAATTTTAAAATATATTAACATTACTATAGTAGAATTATTATAGAAATATTTAATATATTAAAATAGAAAGGTTTTTTGTAATAAAATGTCACAATATTGTTTTACTGTATATTTGATCAATTTAATTATGCTTTACTGAACATAAGAGACTTTCGAAAACTTAAAATTTAACTTAAATTTTAAACTTTTGACTGATAGTTTACATACAGTGATCAAATTTAGAGAACAATCTATAAATACTTGATTTTTTTCTGAAATATTGTTAATCTTCATCGCTCAAAATTTGAAGGAATATTAGCTGTAGGTATACCACTGTTCTACTAACATGTTTGACTAAATAACCAAGGCATTTCAACAAAAAACATTATTTTGTCGAAAACACAGTGATACAAACACAGTGACAGTGAATACAGTGTTCTTAGCTTCAAGGAACTGCTTTACCCGTTTAGCAGTGTGACGGGGGGCATTGTCTTGCGAGAAAATTGCTGGCTGATTGAGAGTTGAAGAAGAGAGGTGCTGAAGGAGGTTCTGATAAATATTTGCATTCACCCTGCCATGTAGCTGTATAAGAGGCCCAACTCCTGCAGCAAAAAACATCCCCCAAACCATGACACTTCCTCCTCCACCTTTTTATCACTCTTGCTTTGTGACATGGTGCTCTATAATGCTGGAAAATGCACGGATCATCACCAAATTTCTCATGGATTGTTGGAAGAAGTCGCTCTTGCAGGAAGTTTTGATACCAATCTTTATTCATGCCCGTGTTTTTGGTCAGATTTATGAGAGAGCCCACTCCCTTGGTTGAAAATCATCCCCACATACGGATGGTCTCAGGATGCTTCACGGTTGGCACAACACAGGACTCATGGTAGTGTTCACTTTTTCTTCTCCGAACAATCGATTTTCCAGATGTCCCAAACAGTCGGAAGGGAGCTGCATCAGAGAAAATACGATAATACGATAAAATCGCATGCGATATTTAATGCGCATCTTGTCAGTAAAGCCGGTTCTGTATCGTGCAGCCCTACTTTGCACCAGTCTTCTGCTGTCCAATCCTTGTACTTCCTGCAGAATTTAAGTCTGTCCTTGACATTTTTTTTGGAGAGAAGTAGCTTCTTTGCTGCCCTTCTTGACAGCAGGCCGTTGTCCAAAAGTCTTGGCCTCACTGTGCGTGCAGATGCGCTCACACCAACCTGCTGCCATTCCTGAGCAAGCTCTGCACTGCTGGTGACACGATTCCGTAGCTGACTCCTCAGGAGGAGATGTCTCTGGGACGTCCTGAAGACTTCACTGAGTTGAACCTCTCTTCTTGAAGTTCTTGATGATCTGGTAAATGATTCTTTCAGAAGCAATATTCTTTGAAGCAATTTCCTTGCATGTGATTTTGATGCAAAGCGATGATGGCTACATGTGTTTCTTTGGAGGCAATCATTGCAAACAAGAACACAATGATTGGAAGTGATTATTCCCTCCTTTTATAGCAATCAGTCTGCTCTTACAATCTAATTAGTATGATAGTGATTTCACCTGACTAGTACTCATTCACTTTCACATGTGTTGCTGATATGATTAATCAATTCATGTTAGCAGGTCATTTTGTGTCAGGATAAAAAAACTGTGAAATTTGCTTTTTTTTGTGAAAAGTAAATTATTTTGGCCAATGAAGCTTTTAGCAGCTATTTAAAATGCATCTGATCACTCTACACAATAATCTAGAAACAATGTGAATGAACACCACAACAGCTTAAGCAGCAAACTTTGCAAAACACAAAATGAATGCCACTGCCAAAACTTTTGGCCATGACTGTACAGCTGTTTACTTTGTGTACTGATTTAGTGTCAAGAGAGTTTTTTCCATCCTCAATAAGGCTGACAAAGAGCACTACAGTCTTGATATCAATTTAGGTCAAAGTGACAAATATGTCTGCCCTCTGACCAACTAACATACTTACTGTTTAAAGTGTTGCTGCCAGTTTTAGTTCCTCCTTGTCTTGTGTCCTCTTCTTCTTCCTCCATAACCCCCTCATCATCATCGTCCTCATGATCTTCTTCTTCTCTTCTATCCCATTCTTCCTCAGAAGTCTCTCTGGATGTTTTCTTCTTTTTCTTGTGGTGGGTTAATCTTTGATATATACAAGCCCCTGTGGACTGGAACCTTGGGTCAAGTGAGAGCGGGAGATGTGCTGAAGAATTCTCTGTAGCTTTGTGTGCGCTGCGCAGATCCATTGCGTAAATGTTCCTCTTCAAGACAGCAATATATGGATAGACACAGAATTGTTATTAATAACTAGACTATAACTATGAAAACATTTTTGTTCATTAAAATAAATCTTATAAAGCTGGACCACAAAACCAGTCATAAGGGTCAATTTTTCGAAATTGAGATTTATACATCATCTGAAAGCTGAATAAATAAACTTTCCATTGATGTATGGTTTGTTAGGATAGAACAATATTTGGCCGAGATACAACTATTTGAAAATCTGGAATCTGAGGGTGCAAAAAAATCTAAATATTGATAAAATCACCTTTAAAGTTGTCCAAATGAAGTTCTTAACAATGCATGCTACTAATCAAATATTAAGTTTGAATATATTTACTTTACTTTACTTTTAGTCATTTAGCAGACACTTTTATCCAAAGCGACTTACAAATAAGAAAAAGTAATTAAAACTAAAAGCTAAAACTCTATAAATACTATATATATGCACACACATTTAATAAAATAAAATAAAAATGACAAATGCATACAACATTTCAAAACTAAAACCTTTAAATGAAAACAAAAAAATAAAGCTAAAAACAATTCAAAAATATTAAAAGAACAAAAGGTATGAGTATAATAATGATTCTAACATAACACTAAGCCAAACACCAAAAAACAACTACATATGTGTATGTACAGCCACATTATGCACAGTATACATTCAATATATATATATATATATATATATATTACTTCATTTCCATTTTGTATGTTGAAGTACTGAAATAACTCAAAATAAATAAAAGAAACTTAATAAAAAGCCTATATAGACATAATAAAAACTAATAAAATGACACCATTACTACAACTGTAACTAAAACTGAAATAGATAACGAATACAAATCAAAGTACATTAGTTCATCGGTAATCCTAAAAAAATAACACTGAGGCAAACACACAAGCTAAAATAACAACAACTTACTGACACATAGTAAGAAACAGATTATAAAAAACTGAAACAGAAGTGGAAAGAGGAGAGATAAAAAGCGATACTTATGTCCTTTGCCGGTGTCCTGCCCGGTGGAGTCGCACGGTAGAGTCGATGGTCTTTACACTCTTCGGTCTTCACACGACCGCTTCCGTGGTAAACTAAGCTTCTTTTTAATTTGTTTAACAAAACTCAAATTGAATTCAGCTGGACACACTTTCCTGTTTATCCCAACAAATGGCCCAGCAAAGCGCACGACACTGACAAGGTACGCGATACAGATATTTACGGTAGGAAATGTACAAAATATCTTCATGGAACATGATCTTCACTTAATATCCTAATGATTTTTGGCATAAAAGAAAAACCAATCATTTTGACCCATACAATGTATTTTTGGCTATTGCTACAAATATACCCCAGCGACTTAAGACTGGTTTTCTGGTCCAGGGTCACATATTAGATTAAACAAATATTAGAAAGAAAACTTATTTCAGTTAGTTGTCAAGGCAGCATTTCTAATTTTCTTTTAGTTTAACTGGAAATAAAATAAAAACTGTAATTGTAATAAATAAAAACTAAAATAAAAATAAACTAGATCTAAATAGTAATATATTAAAAACACAAAAAATTATAAAAATGGCAAAAGTACTTTTGACAAATGACCAAATTAAAATGAAAAGCAAACAAATAAAGGTTTTAATATTAATAAAACTATAATGGTATATACATAATACTAAAATAACACTGGACAGACATGATTTTAATGATAATTTAGCAGGGAAATAATCACAGTAATGAAGATGTTGTAGTGGTCATTACCTGCATGAAGAGTCTTTTCGGTTTTGGGCCTCTTTTACGCCACCTCACTGACCTTTCTCTCTCTTCTCTGTTTGCAATTCGAAATAATGAGTAAAATCAGTGTGGACGAATTAATAAAATACTAGTGGCTGAAAGTGAAAGAATGAATAAGGACATTTCATTTTTAGAACTGCTCACTTTTCCTCATACGCTAAAACCAGTCGAGGGTCTAGAATGTGCTCCTCCGGCTCCCATGTGCTGTACCTTTAAAGTCATTCAAACACAAAACGGCCACATACACATATTTATTGACATGACATGCAAATAAATAAACAAAATATCACAGCCGCTACAGAAATAACTGTAAAACTACCAGGAAATAAATATTGAGAAATGTAGAAATTAAGCTTATCCCATAATAATAATAATAATAATACTAATAATACTTACTTGGGAGGCCACCCCTTCCACTTCAATAAATACTCGACGTGACCCTTAAACATTAGAATAAAAAAAGACAAACATATATAAACCAATACTACATTTAGATATATATTTTTCTCGATGAGATTTCTTCTGAATGCTTTGTTTTTGTCTGTGCGTGTGCGATGACGTAATGATACGGTTTCGTAATAAAGAATTAAAGGAGGGACGACCCCAAAACTAACAGCTCCTCCTTTTTATTTTAATCCCGAGATTTCATGAGACCAAAAGTAACGGTCGTTTATCAAGCGTTATTTGCAACTAGCCGCATGTTTTAATTTGATTTCAAAGAAACGGAGAGCTACGTCTGCTCGCACTAATAACCTCAAAATGCTGTTTTAAAATAAATAAATAAAAATAAACCTCAGGTGCTGTATCTAAATGGCCAAACTTTACATGAGTTGTTAGATAAATAAAACTGCGTGGTCTCCATGACTACGAATAGCGTCACCACCCGTTCCAAACGCGTGCTGTGCGACATGCGTCATCATCGAAGTTATTAAGACTACAAACACACTTCCACGCTGTTGTGTTGTGAGGGGGACGTGTGTGTCCTCGCCCCTTTAACATGGCGTGTGTGTGCAGCGGGCAAACACAGCTACACGCGCATGTCACTTACCTTTCTAACTCTTTTCTTAATGATCGACTCCACAGCGAACACTTGCTCACCAATCGCGGACAGTTCCATCAGTTAAGTTAAGCTAAAAGAATGAAGTAGCTGTCAATGTATCTTTGCGCTTTTCCTTCTTGTCGTTAAAGTAACTATGAACATGCAAATCCCATGCACTGTTAGAATGGCTGCACACGTTCCCGCTCTTCCGCTGCCTTGTTTACAATTCAGCATTTAATGTTTTGCACTGCTCCATTTCCTTGCGCTAGATGAGCACTTTTTAAACCTGCGACACATCTGCAGCGCCCCGCGCGCCCCCGTGCGCCACACAGAGGCTCGGATTATCAACACTCGTCTTTTGTTTCTAGCAGGATTTATGTGGTTTGTGTTTTTTACCTTTCAGATTTGCTTTTTGCAATACAAAATATGAAATAAAGGAATAACGTAATATTAAATAAAGGAATAAATAAATTATTTTGCTTACATGCAGCATTACAATGTCATCTATGGGCAATAGATCTCAAATCTCTCATTGACGAAGATGCACACTATTTCTGAAAGAAGTCTCTTATGATCGCAAAGGCTGCATTTATTTGATTAAAAATAGAATAAAACCTTATAGTGTGAAATATGATCACAGTCTCAAATAACTTTTCTATTTCAATATAAAAAAAAAAAAAAGTCACTTATTTCTGTGATGACAAAGCTGAATTTTCAGCAGCCATTACTTAATTCTTCACTGTCACATGATCCTGCAGAAATCCTTCTAATATGCTGATTTGGTGCTCAAAAAACATGATAATAAATCGGTGTTAAAAACGGTTGTGCTGCTCAATATTTCTGTGGCAAATTTGATGAATGAAAAGTTATTATAGCTTACAAAATTATTATAAACAAAGGTAAGGGAGTCTGAAAAAAATGTTTGTGAGAAAAGCTGTAAAAAAAAAAAATCAAGAAATAATTAAACAAAAAAATTATTAATGTAAATAGTAACATAAAAGCAGTTAAATATTTCCCCAAAATATATATTTTTACACATTCATATTAATTTTTCACAGTATAAATTGAGTCTTTATACATACAAATAAATATTTAAATTCAGGATGAGGGTCCCTCGCACAGATGATCGTATTTGGTGGTCCCTCGAAGCTGGTGACGCAAGAACTTCCTGTGAAACGATCAGAACGATAGCTAGAGAGAAAAAAAAGAGCTTGGCATTGAAACCGACTGCTACTTTTCCCTTTAGCATTTAGCACTCACCTCAGTTCATCAGCTGTTCCGATAGCATGAGGACTGCGAAGTTTGGAGTCCAAGTTATAGTAGACTCCTCCCACTTCTCGAACTCCAATCCAGTGTTGCCGCTTGAGGGGCAGTCGCAACGGCCCCCAGCGCAGATTGGATGGCACATTCAAGATGAATCCAGTGACGTTCGGCAGTGCAATGCTGTCGACATCCCTACAGCATAACAAATACATAGGAAAAATGCTAAAAAATTTAATAAAATGAATGTGACATCAATTGCACACATCAATCTGTATTCATTTATTAAAAAAGAAAAATGCAATTCATACATACAATGCTCGACTACACCTTTTCCGTGATAAGCAGATTTTTAAAAGGGGTCATATGATGCGATTAAAATTTTTTCTTTCTCTTTGGAGTGTTACAAGCTCTTGGTGCATAAAGAAGATCTGTAAAGTTGCAAAGACTAAAGTCTCAAATCCAAAGAGATATTCTTTATAAAAGTTCAGAGTCAACCACGCCTACCTAAAACGGCTATATTCAGATGTGTGCAGCGCATTTTATGGAGGACTGTTTCCTGATCCTGGTAGAGTAGACTACAATGCCGGCTGTTCTGACTCACAGACTGCAAGTACATTTTCATATTTAAAGGATTTGCCACTGATGATTCAAACGCGAGTTTTGAGCAGTGTAGAGTAGCACTTGTTGTTTCTCCGACCACAAATGCAGAAATGGTTTTATGATTACGCGGCGCGATGCAACGCAATGCATAAAAAGACAGTATAAGTCATTATAATCCGTAATTATGTCCCCACTGGATGCAAGAAATGCCTTGTTTATAATGGGTTTTCATGTTTTTGTCTCGTCGCTCTGGCCGGGACACGGCATCACGGTATGGTAAGGGGCGTAACATTTCTGTCACACGCTTGAGGTATTCGGCCAATCACAACGCACTGTAAAGCTGGCCAATCAGAGCAAACCTCTGTAGGATATCAGACAATCTAAGATTTGGTCAGAACCGAGTTGAGGCACGAGGAGTCACAAAAATTCCACAGAGGCCCCAGACAACAGGAAAAATTTTTTTTTTGAAAGTGATTAAAGTTCCCATGAACTCAAAATTCACAATTCTATTTTTTATATTGCTGTGATCATTATTAATAATGTATCCATGTTTTTTTTTTTTATTCATGTGCCCCTGTAATGAAAACACAAACTCTCCCACAAACCCCTCTTCCCCGCAATGACATCTCAACTCTGATGACGTGTGCACCAGTGTGAGGACGGGACAATAATCCATCCCATCCAGCGACCCGTCACTCACACGAGACTGCAGCAATTTGCAAACGACAACGATCAAACGATCAAACCAATTTCCAGTGGACAAAATCAAGTCCCTCCCTACAGTTTACTGTTTTACTTGGCTATACATTACAATACAAAAGAAAACTTCTGTAATTTCTATTTCATGCTGACTTTACGATATGTAAATTTTTCGAAACCATATGAAACAAAAATGAATTCAAAAAGCACATTTCTAAGAGTTTGCCACATGTTTTAAACAAAGTTTTTGAAGGACTTAAAACTACAACAGCATAATAAAATACCTTCTCTTGTCCCACCAAACAGCCTCAAACCCACGAGTCTGCAATGCAGCCATGATGACGTTCACATCATAGTTGCCATTTCCCAGCATGTTTTTCTTGTGGGGCGTGACCAATGTGCTAGGGGAGAGCCTGAAAAAGAAAGAGGATGCAGAAGTGTGCCCAAAAAAAAAAAAAAATCCAAAACTAGATCACTTCAGTAACAATACATAATCTTAGCAATGACCTCTGGTAGATGTCCTGAAGTGCATCACGGCTGAATGCCGCTCCGTCCTGGAAGACATTGTTTAGGGCGTGCAGAGCGCACAGCTCCCGATGCTGCTTTTCGTGATAAATGGCAGGAGGTTGTGACGAGGTGGGGGGCGTTCCAGCATTAGGCCTATCCTCCAGCTCGGACCCACGTCCACCGACTACTTCTCCTTTCTGCTTGCTGACTTTCCATGGCATACAGCCCAGCTCCTGAAAACCCCCGACCCCCCTCCCCTTACCAGAACATGGAGTACTCCCCATTCCTGCTGCTATGTCACCACTATCATCTCCACAGCAACCTCTCAGCTGCTCGAGACGAGTGGCAAGGGGAGGGGAGGTAGCTACTGGAGTGAAAGGTGAGCCAGTGCACCTTGCAGTGAATCAGTGAAAAGAACAAAAACACAAGTGGAAACCGACGTATCTTCTCAGAAGCAGATTCGATTGTATCCTCTTTCTGTGTTCTTCATGTTGTTATTGCACAAAGACTTGCTTAGCACCACAGAAACCACTAGGGCAGAGCAGTTCTTTCCATTTTGGCCGACATCAGGGTGGAAAAGACTTACAGCATGACTTGTACAGCTGACTTGGGACTAAATGGGTCAGCAGTGCAGGACCCTGGCAACTGCCATAGTAGACCACCGTGAGAACTGCAGAGATAACCTTGGCTTTAGAGTAAGAAAGAAACACAAGAGTGATTATAAATCAGCTAATTTGAGAAAGAAAGAAAAAATCCAGTACATTAATTAGCGTTTAAACGAGTGGCAAGTCTAAACACGCTTTTGATGCCTATAAGGCTAATGTGCAGTTGTGCCCAGGATGACTGCATTGGGAATGGCTGTACAAAACTTCCTGCCAGCTGACTGGATGGGTGTTTATGACTTATTCACGGACAGAAACGATATTTAACACTTCGTACACAAGTTTAACAAGACATCTTAAGACATGCCATATTTCTGTTTGGGCTTCTGAACTACTGCGTTCAGACCAATTTGACACTCTGGCTACGTGCTACTCGTTTGATAGCAACGGATAAAACGACACCTTTCAAATGGTCAGTCTACTCCTTCCTAGCACTTACCTGTCTCTATACGGTATGTTACAGTCTGGGCTGCTTTCGTTCCTCTAACTTGGTGTTTTCGCGTCCACTCCTTGAGTTGTTTATTCCTTTGTCTCTTGTAGTTTTTCCTTGCAGCTCTCTGGCTCAACGTGAGCATGCGCAAAACGTCATAGGCTCTCCGCTGGCTTGCGTCACGAGCAGGCTGCATCCCATGGGACTGTCGAACACGTCTCGGTCGCACACATGCCCCACATGAGGAAATTAATAAGAGCCTTTTTATTTCTTTTTGGAGACATTCATTTGCACTTTTGTGTGTGTGTGTGTGTGTAGGGTCTGTATAATCGTGCTAATGACAAAACAAATGACAATGCCTGATTACTTCATTCCAGGAGTTCTGGAAACCCACAAACTAGTAAACTGTTTATTAGTTGTAATAATAAGTATCAGATATTTTCTCATACATAGGCTGGAGATGGAATCTGTATTTTTCTTCCCACAATTTCTACACTGATTTTGAAGTAAAATCAGTGGAATGGATTTAAAATAGGTTTAAAGTTGCTGAGAGTATTATACTAGTTACTGAACCAAAATGTTCACTAAACATACATGCAAGAATGGATTTGTAAAATTACATTCAGGATAGGCATTCAATTTAGCAAGCATACATTCTGTAATCTACATGACCAACCTCCAAATATCAATGGACAACATTAAGAACAGTTTTCATACCAAGTCAAGTTAAACCAAATTGTTTCAATGTGTCTGATTAACTGACCTCCTTTACTGTCATGTATTAAATCATGCCAGTGCTGGTGAGGCTTAAGAAAAAATGAGGAATAGAGAGCACGTTTAAAGAATAGCAAGCAAATGAGGTGAAATAATGACGTTCAATGCTACTGTCAAAACTACAAAATTCAAGCTTTTATTACATCTCTTATGACAACAGTCACAATGCTGAACAGAATTTTCAATTAGAACAGAAATAGAATTCTTTCTGTATTTATTCTATGAACAAGTATGTAATCAAGGTGTAAAGGCCCCCCCCCCCCCCAATATGGGCAAGGCCTTAAGAACTTTTATTTGGAGAACTGCATGGTCAGGGCATCTATAAGCTCCTGTTTCTTGGTTCCTGTTGTACGTATTCCAAACTGCCTGCATGCATCTTTTAGCACAGGCACCGTCAGTTTTCCCAAGGTGCCCTTTTCCACATGGTTTTTCAGCTCTTCCTCTGACATCTCAACTTTTGGCTTTTTTTCAGCTCCACCACCACCAGATTCAGCTGGGTAAAAGGAAGAGACAATTTAAGTCAAGATTCTGTTACTGCCAAGTGCCAACATTTCTGAATGTGGTGGCACTGTTACTAAACCAGGACAGCCAATCTATGGAAGTAATTTCCAATGCTTACTGAACCATGCTGCTCTGTTTTTTCCCCCATTCACTATGACTACATAATAATTATTATTAATTTATACATACAAAAAATAAATCAATAAATACATTACTGCTGAATTAATGCTATTGTACTGTAAAATAAGCAAGTATCATGATATGAGTATTTTATATTTGAATTTTTTTTATTTTACAGAACAGTAAAATTACAGTACAGAAACCCTACAACTTCTTTTTTTATTGACAGATTTATAAATTATTCTCATAACAAACTTGGGAATATTCTTGGCACGTGCTGCATTTTCAAATATTATAAGAGATGGAATTCATGTGGAACCTCTCAGAGACACTAAAAACACTGGATCATGGGCTGCTTGCTTGTAAATGAACACAGTGCCATGCTTCATCTTGAGACATGCAGTGGCCAGATGTCGCAGCATGACTTGTACAACACTGATTTGTTAATTGTGGACCGTTAGATTCGAAGGGCGTTTTGCACAGAGCAGTTCGATGGCACCACTAGCTCGTGCAGTTCTGTCGGAAACTATCCATACAAGAAATAAATGTATTTGAAAACATAGCATTTAAAAAAAAAAAACTGATTTAAGCAATTCACATGGGTCATACTTCTTAGTTTCCTTTTTTTACAAATCTTTTTTTTTTTTATCAGCTTAAATCAAAAATTACATCCCTGATTCATGCTTTATATTAATACAATATCATCTGAAATCTCACCAGGTTTGCGTTTAGCCGCAGGCTTCCCTTCTGGGTTATAATCAGGAGGATAGACTAAATCTTTGAACTCTTGAACCAGTGGGCCAAGACGATCATCCATCATTTGTACCTTGGGCACTGAGGGAGCATATAGAGTGTGAGACAGTAATAGAATTTAAAAAAGAACAATTACCATTAAAAAAAACTTTCAGAACATAAGAAATACTTGTTAAATCCTCAATGGGCTCAGGTGCAAGCATATCCAGAGCCAAAGCCTCCAGGTTCCTGTAGTGCTGTTGTAGCATTGGGTTTTCAAATGCATCACTCCTGTGAAAACATAAGATTTGCAGTACAAATCAACTAAAACCCCATGATTGAAGAATGCATTGTGCAAAACCTGTTAAACCCCCCCCCCCACACACCTGTATTTAAACCGGAGCTTGTGCACAATCTCTTTCATCTTGTCCACCTGCTCATCAGAGGCTGTGGGACCCACGTGAGCATCCACAGTGCGTATGTCATCAGCAAAGGGAAGAAATATCACACGGAAGCCTAAAATACAGGGTCCAACAATTTCATTTACATTTAAAAACTCAATTGGCCATACAGTTGAAAGTAACATGTTCAGTGTAAATTAAAATTGTTAAGTCTTGATTGCAGTTACCTGGAGGTGTTGCCTGGGTTTGACTCTGATCAAGTTCTTCTCTCTGGGGAACAAGTGCCACAAACCGAGGTGGAGTGTTACGGCGAGGGATGTATCTGCACAATGCAAATAAATTTTTTTCACTGCACTTCAAAAGCAGAGTTGTAAACATACAGGAGCTTCCTATGGCAAACAAAAGAAAACAATAAGGAACTTCACATCAGCTTTCAGAAATGTGAAAGTAATCAGTTACGAAAACACTTGGATTGAACTGAAAGAGGTGCTTCGGCTCAAGACATCAACAAATGAAGACCTGCCTAATATCTGCTCTTCCTCAGGGTATATGAAGAGTGCGGGCCGTATATGATGGTGCAGTTTGAGGCGCTCCATGGGCTTAAACCCCATCAGAACCAAACCTGGATCATCAAACTTCTTAATCTCATCCACCTCATCCTTTTCCATCACAATCTGTTTCTTCCCATAAACCTTCATAGTAAGTAGTAAATTTAGTATGATAAGAAAGTGTGTTAACACAAACAGCAATTTACAGTATAGCTTTGTGATAGTTTTGATTTTGATTTGAGGTGACATCTAGTGCCTTACCTGTGACCTCTTCATATCGTTTGGCAAAAGTATGCCCCCATTATGGGCGTGGAAGTAACGGGTTTTAGTGCGCACTGGTTCATTAGTATCTCTGTAAAGTCTGACGGCAGGAGGTTTGGTGGCAGTCCTGGCCAACACATACACGCCGACTGCCAGATTGACACCTTCTCCGAGAGAAAACGTTAACCTTGAACACAATGAAAACACACACAAATATATATATATAAATCAAAGTATTGCATTCTGGAACTATTTTGTTCCAGAAACTATATTTTGCAATTTTTATGTATGGTCAAGCAAAGTGAAACTTTGCTATAAATACTGCAAAATCCAATGTTAAAAAGAAAAATTTCAATAGGGATGCACTGATGTATTGGCCGATAAAAGCACCTGCACTTGAGATGGCCGATTGTTTAAAAACAGCAAACAATCAGAGCCGATTATATCCTGTAAATCAAAAGTGGTGGAAAAACGTGTAAAATGTGCAACTTGTGTGTAGAAAATGCCTCGATCGATGTTTTAAACAGAGAAAGACATCAATAAATAGCTTGTGAACAATGTCACTTAACGCTGCATTTACCTCAGGAACATTATCCAGTGTTCCTAGTCGGTAAGCTAGCTATAAAAAAAAAAAAACCCTAGAGAAGCTTATTTACTTTTAATTATATATGTCATGAAGACAAGTTATAAGGAAAACTACCTTATGTGCAATATCCATGCCTGTGTATGAATCATTTGAGTCCACTGTTTTACAAATGAACGGGCCTGTTGTAGCCACTGTTTATTGGCCACCCAGGAGCAATACTGAGTACTTAAAATAGGTTTTACTGAGTTCTGCATCTCACAATGTCATTATATTTGGTGATTTTAATATAACACATGGATGTCAATAACATTCTCACCAGGGATTTCAAACTGTCTTGCATTGGACTTGCCCATATCAGATCATAAGTTATTATTATTCGGTGTTAACTAAATGGTAGAAAAAATCAACATGGGTCATTCCATCTCATTTCGGAATACATCAACTTCGCGCTGTGGATCGAGTCCAACCCGGGGTCGCCACATGTGGTTGCAGCAAGCCCGCCCTCCGTCGCTCACTCAAGCCGCCATGTGTGATGCTGTGTGTTTTGTTGTGAAAGCGAAACTACTTTGTTTGGCCTTCCAAAAGAGGACACAACTAGAAATCAGTGGTTAAGTTGTATTTACAACACTGTTCAAGAACAGTTCAACCCAAATATTCAGATGTGTGCAGCGCATTTCAAGGAGGACTGTTTCCTGATCCTGCAGAGTAGCCTACAATGTGTCTGTGGCACAAAGGCTGTTTCTATAAAGTGGGGCAGTTCCAACTTTGCAAGGACAGTCTGCTGCTTCTGACTCGCAGCCTGTAAGTAAATTTTTTATATTTAAAGAATTTGCCACTGAAGATTCAAATGGGAGTTTTGAGCAGTGTAGAGTAGCGCTTGTTGTTTGTCGTTTCTCCGATCACAAATGCAGACATGGTTTTATGTTTACGTGGC